ATGCTTGCCTTGTTGCGCTTTTTTTCTTTTTCTTTTCTTTTGTTGGTAGTGTTTCCTCTGTAGCTTTACATGAAACAACATTAGTCATTATGTTGTATGGCAAACTTATGATACCACTGTTGCTTTTGCAGTTGTGCGTATTTGTGTCATGTTGCTTTACTTCCGACTATTACTACCATCATGCGCGTTGCTGCTCATGTATGCATTTTTCTTGCAACAGCAACGAGCTTTTTTAAACATCTTTGATTTTATGTTTGTTATGCTTTTCTTTGACTCGCTTCTTGTGAGTGTCTCTTTTTTGCTTACATACTACTATACTCCTATAGTACTGTAGCATGTTCTTTTCTTCATTCTTTTTTTATTATTATGTTTCTTTGAAGCATACTTTTTTTACGTTGTGTGGATGTGCCTATCCCTGAAGCTCAACAAGACTTTATCCGAGGCTAGGAGGTAGATAGGCCGCCTCCACTTGGTTATCGCTACTTACTTTAGTGGTGACTGAGGGTCTCAATGCCTGAACTTAAAGCTAGGTGGTGTAAGTAAGGCATGCTCTAGCACCTGAGGGAAGTTTGATGATAGCAACCGCTATATTGCTGTATATATCGGAGCTTAAAATTTTGCCTCACATCAAAACAGGGGGAAACCCTCGCAAAATTTTTTTGAGGTCAGCGGAGTTTTCAAGCGATTTGATTGGCTGAGGGGTTCAAACGACGAAGGGTTTCAACTAGTAGATTTCATATTGATCTGACATTTATTATAATATAATGTTTGTAATAAAAGATCTATAACTAAATAAATACTATTTAAATCCTTCTTTATTCGAAGTAAGACAAGGTGCAAGCACTTGATCTAGCATCTATTATATAGTATTACGTGAAAAAGGCCCATTAAAAATATTTCATGCAAGGCATCATGGTATACAGGAGCTGCTTTTGCATAACAAGTTTCGTTATCTAAATAACGTTTCGGTAGCATCGGTAAGTTTGGTAGGTACCTGTTTAGAAATGCATCCAGCCGAAGGTGTTTAGAATAACAGAATATAGACGGAAAAAATACAATTAAAACTAAATATATTAATTATGTTACTCCAAGAGTGAATGAGGATTAAGCGAGTGCAAGTTTCGAAGATACTTAAAGTTTTTTTGACAGTGCCGCAGCAATATGGTTTTGATCTTGAATGATGAGAGATGATTCCATACGCCTTGAACCAGTTAGCGATGTGCTGCGTGAAAGCTCGTTGACCACTAATCATAAGCAAATAACAATGGGAATTTAGGGTACAATGTTCTTAATAATAGTAGATTTGACGGAAGAACATTTGTCAGAATTGAAACCCACTTTCAGGAGCGAAAGGACATAGGCTACTACGCTCTAGGAACCAGTATGTAAATTAGCCATTTGATGGCATCACTCTTATTTCTTTGCACTGTCCGAATACAGAGATCTCATCATATGCCATGCATCTCTGCTCAATCCTTCTTATATATTATACGTTGTATAATACATTTGCCTCTCAGATATGATTTATATTCTAAAGAAATGAGACCACGTTTGGGCACCGGCGATGATTCCTTTCAAAAATCGTGCTTTCAAGCTCTAAATTGGATTTTACAGTGGGAAAAAACAAATTTTTATCTAATGAAATCAAGGAAACTGTGGAATTTGAGGCTTTATAGACTAAAATTCACGGAAAAAAAGAATAAAAAAACAGTAAAGTCAACTAGATAAAGGTATGTTTTATTATCAAACTGACAGGTGTCAAGTAAAGTGAAGTCTCTCTACTGGCCAGGTAGATGATCCTTCTTATATACTATAACAATGGATAAAAGTTCTATTAATTAGATTGACAAATAAGTCAGCTCAGATCAACTAATGTCTAATCATGCTAAAAGACAACTCTAGCAAGCTAATCATGATTTAGCTTTGCCTGAATGAATAATTAGACTCTCATCCAAAGTACCCTGATCTATCCTTTCTATAAGGATAATTAATATCGATCTAGTAGCATGTATCCGATAGCTACAGTCTCCTTAGTCTATGTCAATAGTACATATCTGAGTGTATATTGCTGAGCATACATCTTTAGCATGTATCTGGATATATGGCATGTCTATAGCATGTCTCATATATAGTACAAGTCTGTAGTGCAGTAAAAAAGGGGTTAAAAAGCAGGCAGAATACTGTTAAAATCCTTCTTTATTCGAAATTAGGATAATGTGCAATAAAATGTATATTCTACGTCTCTATTTATATTATTTGGTTTATATCTCTTATCTGGCAGCAGTTTAGTAGTTGCCAGTGATTCCATTACTTTATATATTTTTGTTGGGTCATTTAGTTGTTGATCTGATGGATCAAGAACGGCATTTCAATATATGGTTTTTGAATCATGCGTAAAGAATAGCTCTTTATTGTTGAGCCTGTATCCTTTTTAGGTATATTTATGTTACAACACATTATAATACCCTTGACATTTACTTTAGTATCTGTCATCTCTTATTTTAGAGCATTTAACCCTTGCTATCATCATGCTAATACTATTATTGTGCATGCTTATCTGCTAATGGTAGCGTGATTTGATTGATATGACATTTATTTTGGGTTTTGTTTATGATGGGAATCTAGTCTAGTTCACTTCAAGTCTAATTATTCATTCAGGCAAAGCTAAATCATGATTAGCTTGCTAGAGTTGTCTTTTAGCATGATTAGACATTAGTTGATCTGAGCTGACTTATTTGTCAATCTAATTAATAGAACTTTTATCCATTGTTATAGTATATAAGAAGGATCATCTACCTGGCCAGTAGAGAGACTTCACTTTACTTGACACCTGTCAGTTTGATAATAAAACATACCTTTATCTAGTTGACTTTACTGTTTTTTTATTCTTTTTTTCCGTGAATTTTAGTCTGTAAAGCCTCAAATTCCACACATAATGTTTTTCTTTGAAGTCCCTTAAATTATTAGAAAAAAAGACTTGTTTGTATTCAAGCCGTAGAATTATTACCAGAGGTGGTACCATTCAAGGATTATTTTAATTCTATATAAATGTGCTATGAACCGAAAAAAGTGGTTACTATCGAAAAGAATACGTTCGAGCGATGGAAAAGTAGAAGTATGCGTTAAGTTGTTGTTCAGCCAATAGAAGCGCTCTATCTTCCGCTCATACTGCATTAAATCAAGCTTGAAAGAGTCTTCGCAGCAGAAATCTGATGAATTACAGTTGAAAGATTGAGAGCAATAGGGGGTAATTCTTTATTGTAATATTTGGGGAATGTTGTTGGGGTTAGGTTCAAAGGGGCAATTAATGCAAGAGCACTGGCCATAAAGGTCTATCTGTGTGGGTAGCCTTGAAACGCTTGGGTGGGCTATCATCTTAGCATCATCCAATGTTTTCTTGGTAGTTCAAGGCGTGGTATTTGCTATTATAAGGTTAAAATATATGTAGAGAATGTAGAGCAGTTTTGGCATACATGCAAAGTTGGCAAATTTGAACGTCTTGTTTTTGAATCTACAGGGCATTGATTACGATGGTATGGCACGTGTGACTAAATACAGTGTGACCAATGGCACTTTATTGTTCAAATAAGCGAGATAGGGACTCATCTTGTTTAGGTCATGGTTCATGTACATTCGAACACGTCATTATTAGATTCGCATAGCATAAATACTTACGAACGGTATTGATGGACGTCAGTTTTCAAGAAGATTGCTTTTAGCTTGCTATCTCATTGCACATACGTATTTTGGTCAAGGAAGTCTTGGAGGTATCAGCTTAACTACTCAATATAAAGCATGCGATTAAGCGTTTGTAAAGTTGGATGTACAGTTACGTGCTTTCTTGGCCAACTTTCTTTTCATTCAACCTGTACATAAATTGTTGGGTGCCCGTTTAAAGATCATCAAGCAAAATATCTCACGCAGATATTGTCAATTGCTTGCATCTGCTCAAAAAGCTGCTCAAGTTGGATAGCTGTCTAAAGAATGAGGTTTGTTTGAGTGTGTTATAGAAGCTTTGAATTCATATGGTTAATCAAGAAGCTTCCAAAACATATCGCTAGGATGAGGGCCGCCGTCTCTGATTGCAATAAAGGTAAGAGAGTTTCTAAAATGAATGAGCGTATTGCAGTAATTTTTGTTAAAGGACTTTGATCAATATAGGATCATAAGTACTTCATCAATGATTTAGTAACAATATCTTTGATTATGGCATTTAAATTGTCTTTTCCACTTGTTCTATAATCCCTTACAATGGTAGGCGCTAATCCGATTTGGAGCTACGTATAATTCACCCCTGGAAAATGAGCATTAAAAGGTAAACTTTACAGATGGCTATGAACAGTAAGAACCTTATGAAAGCATTTAAAACCAAAATATGTCTTTGAAGGTAGAATGCAGTTGCAGTCTTACTATATCAAGGATTTTTGTAGAAATCAGTAGTAACCTATGCGTATGACATTTAGACTGATAGCAATATATCGGTAATCTTAAATACTCTGTCTTTGGTCCAATCACAAAAAGATAAAGTTTATCTAGAATTTGGTTATCTGACCTCATAGCATAATTGGACAGGACGGTGTTGAAAACAAATGCTAAACTTCCTGTTATCAAGGAACACAACAGCACATTGCCGCTGATTAAATCATACGAATTTGCATTGAAACTTGTATTTAAAGATCCACAAGAAAATGTAATACTTTTTGTGCAATGCCATCATGAAAAATGATGAAGAATTAGTGTCTTGGGCAAGTGGCCTGACAGGGCCCACTTCCAAATACAGAGTTAAAGGCGCACATACTTTATTGATCACAAAGAAGAACGGGAGGTTCTGCCCAAAATTGGTAATTTATTGATCATATCATATCTGTATTATTGTTGAAATACAAGTTGGGTATTACGTGTTAAAAAAAAAAAAAAGATTAAGAATAGAAATTAGAGGCGTAATATAAAGGAATTGCATTTTGTTTTGATGTTATAATTGCTTGACTTCGATGATGTATTTAGACAATCCATGCAACGATGCGTTTCCAACGAGGAATGTCAGCATCTACTTCGTTATCCTTTTCGATATCAAATCGAGTGACACGACCAGTTTCGAAGTCTATATCGAGGAAGTATGAGTTAATTATCAATTGCATATGTTATTATTAATGAACATTCCGACTTACCAACTTCTTCCAAAGGAATAACCTTGCCTCTGGTGTAAATCTTGTGGCCAATGTAGCAGAGGAAGAAGGGAATAATACCAATGTAATTAGTACAGAAAGTGACAGCATCAAATTCAGGAGTAAAGGCACCATAACCTTGGCCGAGAATAATCAAGATACAGAGGATGGTGGCAAAGAGACCACTGAAAGGATAGCCCATGGCCTTGTAGGGAAGATCAGCGATGCTTCTACCTTGACGGACGTAAGCACGGCGGAAACGAATGTGGACACCGGCAATACCAGCCCAGGAAATGAAACCAGAGACAGCAGTGATACTCAAGAACCAAACGAAGGCTTGCTCAGCACTGATGATTGCAATGATTCAGGTTAGCACACGTTACACTGCAATTCTTTATAGTTACATTACCTGTAAATGGAAACAAAGACACAGGCGAAACCAACAACTGATGAAAAGACAACAGCCCTGTAATAAAAACATACGAAAAGTGAGATTCGTGTGAAAAAATGCGTGAGAAACTAACTTACCAGAAAGGAGCACCAAACTTGTTAACACGGCCGAGGAAAGCAGGAGCATTGTTGTCACGAGCAAGACCCATAAGAGTGCGAGAAGTGGTGTACATGGAAGAGTTACAAGCAGACAAGACACTGGTGAGGACAATGGCATTAATGACATGAGCACCAGCTTCAATACCAGCCAACTTGAAGACCAAGGTGAATGAGGCTGTGCCAGGTCCACCATCAGGGTTTTGCAAATCAGAATTGTCGTAGGGAACGCACATTCCGATCAACAAAATGGTACAAATGTAAAAGATGATGATACGCCAGAAAGTATTACGGATAGCGCGAGGTACAGTCTTTGTAGGGTTCTTTGCTTCACCAGCAGTGATACCAACTATATACACACATGTTGTGAGAAATGCTCATCACATGAGCAATTTCAGGGAAATTTTACTTACCAACTTCGGTACCCTGGAATGAGAAACCAGCTGACAAGAGCACACTCACAGTACCTACAGCGCCATTATTGAAAGCGCCCGGAGTATTCCAATAACTGCAAAAGATAAAGTTAGCATTGCACTGCATACATGTTAATTAAAGTGCGTTGTCTTACGAGAAGCCAATGGTGCCACTGCCAACAGCACCAGCAGTAACAAGGATAGCAACAATGATAAATACAACGACAATGACGATTTTGATCAGAGCAAACCAATATTCGAGTTCACCATAGATTCTAACGCTCAAAAAGTTGACTGCAACAATGATGACCAAGAAAATGGTCGACCAGGCAGCATCAGGCAAAACTTCTTTCCAAAATTTGATAATGGTAGCAGCAGCAGCGAGTTCAGTAGCGATTGTAACAGCCTACAGCACATTTGTTTAATTCAGCATGTCAAATCAAAACGTGCCAATGTCGAATACTAACCCACTATATAAATCAGCAAGTATCAAATTTAGGAGTCGAATGATGAGTATTCTTTCATGTATTAGTCATAATCAGTAACTTACAGAAAACCTAGAAATTCGATTAGTACTTTTATCATAAGTCGACTCTATACATGTATAATTACCAATAGTTCCAGCCCAGAGCAAAACCAAGGGAAGGTTCAACGAAACGAGTAGCATAGTGATTGAAAGATCCAGATACTGTATACAAGTTAGTATAAGTAGATGTGCCTTGCATGTAGCTTAGTTACCAGGCATAAATGTGGCCATTTCACCAAGACATGTCATGATACAATAGACCTAAGATAGTATCGAGATACGGTTAGTCTTTTTCCATCTTGAATCGTAGAGCATGGAATTCCAGGTTTGTATTTTACCATGAAGCCCACTAAGAAATGGATGAAAAGAATCAGATTGAGTTGCAATTAGTATTTAGCAACCCGCTATTTCTTGATTTTGATTCAAGTGTAACCAGAACTTACCAACACAATAGGCAATAAGAGCACCAGCAGGGCCAGCCTATCAAATTAATAAATTAGATACGTACAACTTGAGTACTTAGATATGTATATAATTATACCTCGGCGATATTGCCACCAGAGTTAAGGAAAAGGCCAGTACTAGAGTAGATGTCAGTAAGGATCAAACATCTGACATGCTGAATGAGTTTGTGTATGTGTGAGCATTTACCCAATGGCACCACCCAACGAAATCATTTGAATGTGTCGAGCATCTAAGCCACGGTGAGTGCCTTCTTGGATGTGGTTCTCTTCCTCCTGATTGAGGTTTTCTGAACGGTAGGAAGGTGCGCTTGATTTCTCAAATTCCTCAATTTTCTGAGATTCATAGTGATATTCACTTGAACTCGTCGTTTGATTCTCTGTAACGGATGGTTTTTCGATCATTCGAAAGGCAAAAAAATGTAAATAAATGAAAGGAGAGAAGAAGAAAATGTGAAAATTTACTGCTTTCGCTTTTTCTCGACTCTTTTTATACACATTTATTCTTTAAGCTACACAAAAAATCAAGAGAGATAGGCGGAAGCGTAAATGGAATTAACCCAATCTTGCTTTGTAAAACCCTAATTCAAGCAACTGGGTTTGATTTCTGATTGGCAAGAGCACGCATTGAAGCCAAGACCCTCTCTTGATTGGTCTCCACGATAAGTCCTTGAACGATGATTTCGTCTATGATCATGTGCACTTTTTCGATGTTGAACACAAGATCAAGTTCCGTCTATTCCATATAAAATTAGAAACGATATATATAGTATAGGTGTGCGCACTTGAAACTTGCCACTTTTTCAAAGTAATGGTCCAAGCATTCTGTTTGAAAAACATCAGCCATAATATATCGAATTTATACACATCTGCTTACCAACACAGTTTTGAATCAGTTCCAGGATGGAAAATTCATTCTGAGAAAAGCGGCGTCCTATTAATTGCTACATGAAAACTGCAGGTAGATCTTTGTTCCCACTTACATCTTCTGGATCACAACCAATGATAAAATACAATGAAGCATACACTCGATAAACTAGCCGACGAACGATTAACGAATTTCAAGTTTTGCGATAGGGTATAGCGACTTACCTATTTTGTCCTGATTGATGGAAAAAAACAATGTCTAAAGAACAATGCGTTGGAACGCTTGCATTCATTTTCATTTTGCGATTGTAATTTACCTGATTTTGCTTTCGAGTAATACATTGTCTAGCAATCTCCAATTCAAAAGTTGCTTTATCTTGAATTAGTATGTTCTGATAATATCTAGCAAAACGTGTTTGACACGACCTATTTACTATTAGAAAAAAACGTATCATGTTGGAGAGGATTAAAAGAAAACAAAAGCAGGCTGTTTTTCCCATCGAACTACTAGGGGTTAACCCAATGAGATTTCCCTATTCAAGATGCGAACAGGGCCTTGACTCAATAGGGCCGACGCTTGTTTGAATTGCTCCTGATCAACGTCCCATGTTTTGATTAGACAATGTGTATATTAGTTCTCTGTTCTGCTATGACATGCTTGCAATGTGCTTGTTTTGACGCAATACCCATCTTTTTAAGATGGCTATGATGGTTTGATCAACTAAATGCTCGTGTCAACTGTGGTGCATATTTAAAAAAGTCTTCCAGGGGTGCGTAGCCATGCCTTACCTTTGTCTATTTGAGATCCCACAGCAACCCAATCTCAATTTAACTGTAGTAGAGTAAACCAAACCTATCATGTGCTATTGATTTTCACACGAATGAACATCATTTTGTTACTGCTCCTGCTTACAGCCAAAAAGTTCAAAGGCACAAATCACAGGTGATCGTCGCTATCTCAAGCGCTTTCACAAACCGTTCGCTTCAAATTAATTAATAGTAAAAAAAAAAAAAAAAAAAAAAAAAAAAGGTTATATCAGAGTTAGGAGGGTGAGGTAGCCGTTCGCTACTGTTGCTCTTGAGATCGCGGCATAACGTTGGCCATGCGTAAATACAGGATCTGTGTAAGATTTACAGCGGCTTTTTTGAGATATTACTATTGCAAAGACATCTTTATAGGGAAAAGCTCCCGTGAAAAGAAAATATTTGGACCAAGCAATTGCCCTTTCAACTCCATGATCCCCATGTAATCAGCATTGCAATCATCATTGTCCTCATTAGAAAGGCATTTGGGACAGCCAGCAGCAATGCCGCCGCCAAAATCAATTCCAACTCAGCTTATTTTTCCTGCTCAAGATTGGCCAGATTTTGCCTTTCTTCGACTTCTTTGATCTATTTTGTAAGATTAGATTATATAAGTTGAGATGATCAGCCCGTACTTCCTAATACATTCTTGGAGTACTTTTCAAGGCGCTTCCAATGGTGCCAAGAAAAATAGATGTTTTGACTGAACTCATCGAGTAATATTGAAGAATACGAAATGAGGTTTTTGGCCAAAATGTCAAAATTTTGCATATGAAAGCCTCACAAAATTGGCTTCAGGGGTTGCCTTGGATCAAGAGAAACATTTTGATTCAAGATATATCATAGTAAAAGTCTTCATTTTCAAAGTGAAAAATGCGATCGTTTGATTTTCGGTGAAAACCATGAGGGGTACCTCATGCTTTTTGGTCGATTTTTGGTCATGTTTTTTGGGTCCCCAAAAAGCTGAGCAAAGGTGCCAGGAAGTTACTACTACTCGAGTACAATTGTTTGGCGTTATTCCAGTGGCTCAGAAAGGTCTACATGTCAAGATATGAAGGCTTGAAGGCTTTCAAATTTGGTTGAATTCTTGCTTTATAGCTTTATTTACACGACATAAATCACATTTTTGGTAGATGCAATTTACTGGTAAGGCAGTTCTATAGCTTGAGCAATTTTTAATTCGAATAGGAGGCATATTGATTTTGGTAAAGCTGATTCATGCAAATTTTGATACGTTATGTTGTTGGTAAGTTTGATAATAAAGGAAATGAAAAACCGAATTTGCTGCTTGAATACTATGGTTTTGCATATTCGCTTCGCTACAATCAAGCTCTCGTATAGATCAATACTATCAAATGCTGGATTGGATGCTTAGTTGTCATAGGTTTGCACCTTTGCTTCGCTGCGATCAAGCCCTCATATAGATCAATGTTACCAAGTGTTGGATTAGACGCCTGATTACCATGGCTTTGCACATTGATTCGCTACGGTAAATGTATAATGATGATAAATGAGCGGCTTTGATAAATAGCTGCTTAATATCGGCAAGACAACATGTCTATACTTATATATAAACAATGCAGAGCAATGACAAGCTACCTCAAGCATGTGCGTTGTCATGGAAAGAGACAAGTGTAAATGCACAATATTCTGTCTTAAATGATCGAAATTCCTAATATTGTGCTGAAGTACCACAATTATGTAGTCAGTAAGCAGTCCATAAAGATTTTTAAGGTGGTCCAAACCTAATAATCAATCAACAATGACATTTAAAGCTTGCTTTGGTATGTCTAAATATCATCAAACATGTATCTCCAGTCAATTCTGTGGTACGTTTAGCCGAACAGCGACGCCCAGCAGGCTTATACACCCAAAGATTTTTCCATTAAGAAATTCGATGAAAGCAGTGGGTAACGTAACACTGTTTTCCATCGAGAATTGCTCCCTCTCCTTCCTCGAATTGAGGCTTCATTTGTGAATCCCTTGTACACGTTTAGCTGCAACTGATTGATCATCGCTATCGTTGTCCACCCACATCCCAAGACCATCACCATTTTCGTCTCTCTCTCCCTCTCTGCAAATTCGTGTCTTAGGGTCTTTCGTTCCTTGTTATACATTTGCATACCATATACAGATCTAACGCCCCTCTTTACTCGTTGTTTTCTTGCCTCAATTGCCTTTTATGCTTTCTCATCAATTTGTTTAAAAAGCTTCTGAACTTCGATGGTAGTCATGGTGATATTTGTTTATGGCATCAAATGTTCTCATTTTCATACATTACTAGAAGCGGATTGCTGTCTATTGGGATTTCACTATGGTCATATGGAAACTTTGCTTTAATAAAAGCACCTTATAGTCAAAAAAAAAAACGTGAAAGTCGCTATGAAGATATCAGTGCTAATATCAATGGAGAATGCCAAATTGAACAGTTCAGGAATGGGGTCTCCCAATCACTCTCAGCTAAATATCATGTAGTATATCGCAGTATTTATTTATATAAACAAGTTAGAAAGGATGGCGTTCTCGATATCAACAACATGACTATGTGACAATAAGCTATCTCCACATGCGTTTTCTTTGTAGCCAAGCTGATGTGTGTCCCATAACATGACCCTTTGCTTATCTTGCTCTGATAAGCTTGCTATAGCTGATCGCATAATATGGGCATAGGCTTCACTTCTGCCGTAATTCAATGCTCTTGTATGGCCTGCAAAGTATTGTGTTGTTTTGACAATGATGCGTTGGTTTGGGTATACATCGTGGATAGTGTAGTCGAGGAAGGACATGAATGCCTTGGCGAAATCGTTGGGATGCTGTCTCATATTCATCATATCTAAATTGCCAACACCCAGTATGACAGCATCTGCTTCTGGCAATCTACGAGAAATGCCCTGCATATCCAGCTTCCAGCGTTGATGATGCTCTACAATGTCAGTATCGATTTCACCAAAGTGGATTTCAGTCATGTTATGTAAAATCGGAGCGTCAATGTCGTAAGATGGCTGCTGCTCTTGGTTACACATGTCTGTTGGTCGATCTCCTACTAAATGCTGCAGATTTCTTCTTTTTGTATGAGAACCGTTGCAGTCAATCAAGTTTATATTAGTACATACCTTTTTAAATGGTGGTCACCCCAGATGTGGAGCGTTAGCCTTGATTGAAAGCAAGATTGGTCGAAATCAAGGCGACAACTCGGGCTGAATACCGAATGTGGACCTTCAAATCTGACATCGTCTAGTTCTCTGGCACCCTCTTTTCGAATCCAAACACTGTCTTTAAGCGCAAATGCTTCCGTGAAATCACAGACATCACTGGGCTGCTCAACAAGTGCTTTTGTTTCGCTTTTTTCGTTGGGCTTTTTATATACAGTCAAACTGTTGCGCGATGTAAATCGATTAGGTCGGTAATGATGGATCCCTGGCTGTTCCCAAAAGTAAGAGCGATATTCGACCGAAGTATCCAACGTCCAAGTGCCATGATGAGTGAACTTTACAGAGGCGTAATACACGTTGCTCTGTTTATCATGCTGTAAAAGTCGAATGGGTATCGCTGCGCCTGTGGACTCGCTCTTTGCTGTCATGATAATCGTGTCTGACGGGGCGTAATGTGGCATGTGCTTGATGGATGAGACGGCAGGAATAGGCCCCAACTAGAGTGCAAATAAGGTTTCTTGGTTATCAAAGAGAGATCGGCTGTATGGCATTTAGACTTACCAGCACTGCTACACAAACTGATTCGTCCTGGCCAATTTGGACATTTTTTCTGGTGAAACGACCATCCTTTCTCATAAAGAATGATTTTGATACCCAACCATCCCAATAAGACCTGTCAGAGGCTCTGGTTTGTGTGTGGCATGTTAATAAGTGTGAAGCGACATGAGATGGGCGCACTTACAGCCATCGGAAATCAGCACGCTGACATGCTAGTGGCATCTCATTTTCCAGCGGCGTTGGCGGTGCGATGCTGGATATATCGTTGATCTTCCTCAGTGATGGAATGACAGGTTCGAATGAAAATAGATCTGTCCTTCTGGTTGTGACATACTGGACGTATGTGCCTGAACACAGCAGTAAAATGATGATGATGAGGATGTTTCTGCGGGATTTGCCGCAGGTAGATTCCTGTTGTATGTACATGATGTCGTCTCCTTTCCGCAGCATATGATGACGAAGAAGAAAAGAAAAGAAAAGAGGAAAAGAACAAAGAAAGAGAAAGCCAAGTTTTATCATACATATATATATATATTTTTTTTTTTCGAAAGGAGATCAATTAGCTTCTCACTTTATTTGCATTTCTTCTACGGTAAGTTGCAACAAAGTCCGAGAGGATCCTTCTTACTTTGATCCAATGACGCCCGTTGATTGCACTATCAAGAGATGTGTTATAAATAAACTCTATCTAATTCAAAGCCTCTCATCCACTTACCCTGTCCAATTGGCCATGAAATCGCTCTTGATCTCCATTGACATGTACTCTTCGGGAACAGCATTCACTACAGCCATCATCCACTGTGCGGTTTCGCTGGGCAGCATTTCCGCCAAAGACTTGAATAATGCAGCTACGTCAGAAATCGAATCTTGGTTATAGAAATCAACCAAACCATTGAACAGCACGGCTGTTAAATTTCCTCCGTATTCCTTAAAGAGTGTAACAACGGCAGCTGATTTATTGGACAGCTCCACTAACTTGCGGTAAAATGACAAGATGGCGCCAAGAGCATGTGGTTCGTTGATGGACAACCCTGCGATACCTGCCTGGAAGATGGTTGCCAGCAGGGGATCTTGCAAGAGGAGACTGGGCGCGTTCTCCAAGAAGGCAGTTACCAGACGAAAGTACTCCTCAATGACTATGATAATAAGATTTGTTTAAAAATCATCTCTATTTTTGGATGAATTCTGGGGGAGGGGGGGGGTTCTAGACCACCACCACCACCACCACCTTCTTCTCCTTACCATCTGGAATATCGTTGACTTGTTGTGCTTGCATCTTAATGAACATGGCCTGACTTAGGCCCTGTACCAAATCAAAGCAGGGACGCTCGCCGTCGTTTTTCGAGTATTCTCTTACCAATTTCAAAGAGACCCAAAGATACCCACTTAAGCCGGTGTTTGCAAACACATTCACGATACGCTCCATAAGTTGAGGCAACAGAGGGATAAAGTGAGGCCCATAAGAGACGATGAAGCTATTGAAGCACTTGCACAGAGGTTCAGATACAGTGACAACCTGGCCAAAGCCAGCCAATGTTGCATCCAAGACTGGCCACAGTTCAGTGATGAATGTCACGCATGGATGAGGCTGACCAAGCGAGATGTCAGGACGAATAATCTCGAAAAAGACGCTGATCTGCTCCAAGATATCACCCATCTTGACGCAATCTTCATTCATCACCTTGTCCTTGCCTCTGGACACAATACCGTGCAATTCTTGAGCCACTGGTAAGCAAAACACTTGCAATGCTTTTTGGATTTCTGTTGGCGGAATCACGGAAATGACGTGGGATACAGCTTCTGTTACTTCCAAGACGTCTCTGAAGGGCAGTGTCTTTGTCACTTGCACATAAAATGATTGAAGTTGCACAAGATAATCCACCAAATGCTACAAGAAGATGTCAATCCAATGGCAATGGGCCCTTTTTTTTCTTGTATTACCTGACTGCAGTCCTTGCAAAGATGCTTCAAGGCCAGTGCACTAGCAGCAGCGACTTCTGCATTTTGCATGCCGTTGGAGATAAAGTTGAGTTGGTATTGAATAAACTGCGGGTGAGCCTCTGTCCAGAAAGAATAGCGAGAAATAACCAGTGTAGCTGCGTAGCGAATTTTAGGATGATCGGGTAATTGGGACAGGAATTCCATGATGTGAGGCATCACTTCATTCTCATCTTTGGGCACTTCAGAGCCCATCACGCGCAAGGAAAAGATGGGTGCTTCGATTTGCTGCCATGTTGCTTCGCTGTTGTTCAAAAGGGCGGTCAACAGATTCATCGGCTTGACCAGGCAGCGCTGTGGGGTCAAGATGCGGCAGCAGTCTTTGAGTGTATCGCCCATTTTGTGTCTAAAATCGCGAAAATCATCCCTTTCCTCTGCTGTCAACGAATCCAGATCGGCAGGATAGCGCAAATGATCAATCATGATGTCTACTAATGCATCGTAGTAGGCCAAAAATTTCGGTGTGGATGCTTTGAATGTCTCTGTCTCCAGCAACAACGTCAGTTCGTACCAAAACTTGAATGTAATAGGCACAATCTCCAGATCGTTGTAAGCGGCCACTTTGATGATGCCGTCCAACAAAATGCCAAATGCCTCTGGGTGTCGTCCAATCAGGTTGATGTAGGCTTCGCCTGCTTCTGCAAATATACGACCGTAGCCTCTCACCGTGTCCTCGTCCTCTTCCTCAATTGCCTCTGACAGCTTTTGTAACATGGCCGCAAAACAGGGGTAAATCTGCTCAATGATGGATCGACATTCGTTGACATCTCTTGTTTCGTAAATGATTTCAGAAATCACATCTACTGCCACATCAAACAGTTCGGGTGATTCCAGTCCTTTAAACGATAACTCCAACATGGGGCTTGCGCTGATCCAGTTGATGTCCATCTCGCCTGTGCGGATCCAGCTGGAGAAGCATTGGAAGATCCTCTCTTGCAGCTCAACGTCGTTTCCACTGGACTGCATGTACATGGTCAATAAATCAAGCACTTGTTTGGCATTGTTATCAATCAATTCCTCTCCTCTTGACTTGTACTCGTAATCCTATTGCAACCATGTCAGCGTATCCACATTCTGGCATGTCGCTTTTTTTTTTCTTTACTCACTGTCAGGGGCAATCTAGTATTGTTGTTCATCTCTTCGGGCAGGATTTTGAGAACCTCTAATAGACAAATAGAGCCATGAGGCGTCTTGCCAAACTTGTCTACCAAATCAGGGATCACTGTCTTCCATTGTAACAGCTGAATGGCTAAATCAGCAATAGCCAAGCATAACTGGATCATGACAGCTTTGGGCCCATTTGAGAATTGCCACAACAAATCCACCAAAGAATCACGTAACTGTAAACGTGCCTCTACATCCAATTCACGCAAATCGTAGGTAATCTACGATAGCAGAGAGAGAGAGAGAGAGAATAAGTCGAGTGCGGCATACATTTTTTTTTTGCATAGTAAATGATACCTTTTGCTTGAGGGTCTGTGCAGCAAATAAACGGGTTTCCAGATTGGCATCTGGCAGTTTGATCAAATAGTCTGCTGCTGCCCATGCTTCAGGCTTCATTCAAGCGATGTGAGCTGTCTGGTATTTCCAACTCTGAATAGACAAGTACCTGTTTCTGGAATGCTTCCAACCATCTACTTGCTTCCCTGTTCGATCGGCGGTCGGTAGTACTGTATAGCGATGAGAGTGCTTCTAATACACGTGTTGCTGACTCTGTAGCCATGTTGGTTATTAGTTGAAGAAGAAGAGAAAAAGTAAAAAGGAAATTGAAAGAATGTGTCTTGGAGCTTTTTTTATTCGGACCGAGAATTAAGAAAACTGCTACTTTTTTCATGAACATGTAACAGTGATACCTCTTTCCCTCTTGGCCCAATCACAAAGACACTGAGGAGCATTGCTATCAGAGATGGAGACATGAATGCTTTTGGGGCTCTAGACCTTGCCAGTCTTCAGCGAGATGATCCAATAGCTGTATTCAATAGAGCATCTGCGTCGACAGCTACAGCACACAATTTCACATGCGCATGATATCCAAAGGAGATTGTTCATCGACTTGCTTCTTGGCTTAAGATTTACAAGTTAACATTGATTAGATCCAAGCCCTACTGTATGCTAGCGTGTCGTGCTCGTCAGGCTGTTGTACCCTTTGAATCGACCTCGGGTAGACATGTCAAGTGTGACAATGATGCATTTGATGTTATTAAGAATACATGTCTAGGTCTCTCCTCTTTGCATTAAACATCTCATTGCGTTTGTAACTTCAAATGCTCGCAGGTGTTGTTTTCTTTACGCCATTTACTCTCCTCATGGCCATCATGCGAGTGAACTATACAACACATTCAGCTTGCAAGCAATCATCTGGATGTCTAAATGCTCGGCGAATATACTGCCGAATCAATGCATTCACATGGGATGGCATGCTGGTTGATCCAGTATGTGATGTCTATGGCTCCTTACTTAAAAAAAAAAAAAAAAAAAAAAAAAAAAACGAACATGGCAAGAGGAGTAGATCTCTGGTTTATGTCCTATACTCTACAACTAAATAGCTTGTGACGTATTGAAAGTATTCAATACCCGTTGGATGCTTCTGGTCTGTCTGCCCCTGCTCTTTTTAATGGGTGCGAGGGGGATGCAAAAAGAGAGAGCGAAAACTAGTCCCCCCCACACACCCAAGGCTCAAATTGTTTGTTTTAAATAATAGCAAAAGGACGCTTCTACTTTTACTTCTCCACACTTTAAATAAAATTACAACAAAGATGTTTGGTATGCGCAAGTGGTCTACTCCTGTTCTTCGTCCTGCTGCCCCCTTCATTGCTGGTGGCCTCGCCGTCTTTTACTTGGTTGCCAAGGCCCAAGATGCCATGATCAACAGTAAATGTCTCACATGTGTAATAGATGGAATGAGCACTAACCACATAGCACACATCTATAGGTGAAGAGTACAAGAACGACCCCAGAAACCCTGCTTGTAAGTGCACCAGCCGTTAGTCAGTCAAATGTTGCATGATATTAAACATCTTTTTTTTTTTTTTTTATACAGTGGCTTCCGGAAAGAAGGCTCATTAAATTAGTTTCGACACTTTTTTAAATCCTGACGAAATAACGACACAATCCTTCACAAATAATAAACACAGAATACAATGAACAAATTGCATTGATGACGGTTCAGTTATTGTAAAATTACCCACTGTAATCGAAATAAAAGCGATGTGATCTTTATTATTGAAAACCTACTATTGAAATGACATATATTAAAAGTAAGAGGATTGAGAAGATGGACGTGTGGATTTACTGTGCATGATGGTGGTGTTGGTGGTGGTGGAGAGCAGCATGGCGTTGCTTGACTTTATCGACCAACTGCTGGATGATGCCGGGATCTGCCATGGTAGATGTGTCTCCCAATTGATCAGCCTCGTTATTGACAATCTTTCGCAGGACACGTCGAAGGATCTTGCCAGAACGAGTTTTGGGCAAATCATTCACCACATACACCTGCTTTGGCTTAGCAAAGGGTCCGATGGATTTTCTTACTTGCAGGATGAGCTCCTGGACCAGAGCTTCAGTATCACCAACCATATCAGGCTTCAAGGTACAGAAAGCATGAATACACTGCCCTGTTAATTCATCATGGCCGCCAATAACAGCTGCCTCGGCTACAGCAGAGTCTAGAATCAAAGCAGACTCTATTTCAGATGTGGACAAACGATGGCCAGACACGTTGATTACATCTATGGCGATACATTAATAGAGGCATTTGAAAGTATACTCATGATGCTTACCATCGACTCTGCCACGGATCCAAATATACCCATCCTTGTCGCGGGTAGCGCCATCGCCAGTAAAATAATAGCCAGGATAGGGTTTCAGATAGGTTTCCATGAAGCGATGATGATTGTTGTAGATGGTTCGAGCCATGGAAGGCCAGGGTTGCTTGATGGCCAAGACACCAGTAACATCGTTGCCTTCTAATTCCTTTCCAGTAGCAGGATCCAAGATGGCAGTTCTGATGCCAAAGAAGGGAAATGTAGCAGAGCCAGGCTTGGTAGGCGTAGCGCCGGGCAGTGGACTCACTACAATGGAGCCAGTCTCTGTTTGCCAATAGGTGTCCACAACAGCACATTGGGAGTGCCCAACCTTCTCATAATACCATTCCCAAGCTTCTGGATTGATAGGCTCACCCACAGACCCAATCACTCGCAATGAAGAGAGATTGCATCTATCCACATAATCATCGCCCAAACGTCTCAGTGCACGAATAGCAGTAGGGGCGGTGTAGAATTGCGTGATCTTGTGCTTGTCAACCGTTTCCCAGAATCGAGAAGCAGTAGGATACGTTGGGGTTGACTCGAACAGCAGCGTAGTTGCACCCAAGCACAGAGGGCCATAGAGGATATAGCTGTGCCCTGTAATCTGAAGCCACAGCACAATAAATAACAAGATCTTATATAGAGTACTACTTTGCGCATTTACTTACCCATCCCAAATCAGCCATGCAAGCGTACACATCATCATCATGCACATCAAAAATAGTCTTTACTGTCATTGCAGCTCCTAATAGGTAGCCTCCTGTCGTGTGCAATACGCCTTTAGGAGTACCGGTGGATCCAGATGTGTAGAGTAGAAATAGAGGGTCTTCTGAGTTCACCACAGTGACAGGGTGGTATGGGCGAGCATTGGCCATTTCCTCGTGCCACCAGAGATCGCGATGAGGCACCATAGGGACATGTGCGCCTGTGTGTTTTACGACAACAACTCGATCTACAAGATTGGGAAGCTGTAATGCTTCATCCACTATACGCTTGGTAGCAACAGACTTTCCGCCACGACGACCCTCATCTGAGGTGATGACTACACGGGCACCACAATCTTGGATTCTCTCATGCAACGATTCAGCAGAGAAGCCAGCAAAGACAACTGAGTGAACAGCACCTAAGCGAGCGCAAGCCAACATGGCGAAAACGGTTTCTGGGATCATTGGCATGTAAATGGCCACGTTATCGCCTTTACGAACATCCAGACTACTCAGCACATTGGCCATCTTGCACACTTCTTGCATCAGTTCTCTATAGGTGTATTTTCGAACGTTGCTTGGATCGTCGCCTTCGTGGATGATGGCTATCTTGTCTGGCGTCTTGAAGGCATGTCTATCCACGCAGTTGTAAGCAACATTCAACTCTCCCTCCAAAAACCAAGCTACGTTTCCATTTTCAAAGTCGCCAGCGCATGTCGTTTGGAAATCAGTGTCCCAGTGTATGTATTCTCTGGCGGTTTTTGCAAAGAACTCTGATGGGTGATCGACGCTTTCTTGCCACAGTGATTTGTATTGTTCAAACGAGTCGATAAATGGCTTGTTTGTCCCAGACAATAGTCTCTCTGGTACGGGATATACTTTGTCTGGATCCTCTTCAGCAGGCATTATAATGTATTATGTTACGGAAAAAAAGGCAATGAAACAAAGGACATTGACATGTCATTCTTATACACAAAAACCCAGGCTTATTCATGCTTCGTTTGATAGCTTAGTTTCAAAACGCAGAGAGAAAGAAAAACAGGGTGCTAAAAATAATCGCCTTCTTTTCTATCTTTTCCACACACATATCATTGACTAGGATTTACAAAAAAAAAAAAATGGCTTACAAAGTAGTGCTTCCCAAATGTCATTTTCCATTATATAATACTAAATTCATCTTTTTCAGTGCGTATCTCAAAAAGTAGCTCAGGCAATCGACGTCGAGTTGATGTCGAGTTCGGGTGGATTTTCCATTGATCAACTTATGGAATTAGGTAATTCAGGGTTTCATATCGTATTTTTACATATGAAAATTGATAATGATTCTGTAACAGCCGGGCTTAGTGTTGCTCAGGCAGTTGAAAAGGCATTCGATAGCTCAAAGCATCCCAATGTTCTAGTCTGTGTTGGCCCTGGTACGTATGACACAGGATGGCATGAATGGGCGAGACTTGTAGTATTCATCGGCGCATGTTGAGCACAGGAAATAATGGCGGCGACGGATTAGTAGCGGGTAGGCATCACATCGGCAGTCGGTGCTGTTTGCATAGCACTCACTTAAAGCTGTAGCGAGACATCTATTCCATTTTGGCTTCAAGCCCAGTCTTTACTATCCCAAGCAGCCTGAAAGGGATCTCTACCAAGTAAGTGAAATGAAGTGTTATCGTTACAAGGCATCTACCAACGATTTTCAAACAGCGTATTCTTCTTCAATGCCGCAACCTCGACATCCCCGTGTACAAGGAGCTCAGTCAAACATCAGGCAATCTTGTCGATCAATCACACATCATTTTGGATGCATTGTTTGGGTTTAGCTTTCACGGCCAAGTACGTGATCCTTACAAAGAGATTATTGACATTTTTGAGAAGACGACAAAACCCATTGTATCTGTCGACATCCCCTCTGGCTGGGATGTTGAGCATGGCCCTACTGAGCATGTCAAGTTCCAGCCTGACGTCCTGGTCTCTTTGACAGCACCCAAACAATGCTTATCTCATTTTACAGGCAAAAGACACTTTTTAGGTGGTCGATTCGTTCCTCCCGCATTAGCCAAGAAGTTTGACTTTGATGTGCCCGCTTATCCTGGATCAGAGCAAGTTGTTGAATTGTAGATTGAAATAAGCGTCTTTTTAAAGAAAAGCATATGTAGCGATGTTTTATTTAAAAAAATGTAAGATTCTTACAACATGTTGAGCGTATGGATATTTACAAAGGAAGAGTGTGAGTGGGATGAGGTGATTTAACTGGCGATACGAGGCTTTTGAGAAGGGCTGATGAGACTCCTGTAGTGAGATTCAACTTGAGCAGCGTGCTTGTTCTCTGTGAATTCGATTTCTTTTCTAAGAACATCGCTTACACGAGTCATGCGATGAGGATGTCTCAAGAGATTTCCAGCTACACGGCAGTAAGCATGCAGTGTTTGAATGTTGTTGCCTTTACTGCCAGAGCTTTCTTTTTTGCGGCCTTGATCTACGAGCTTCTTCTTTAGCCTTGTCATGGGAGAGGAGCAAACTACCTCGCCTAGAACGCATGGTTTGCATTTTTCAATAATTTCTTCATGAGTCAAACCACGGGCACGATTCATGACATAGTACCTATAATGCTTTGTGAGCACAATTTTGGTAATGTCAAGTTCTGAGAGTTCAGGTTTCTTTTCTGTAGACTCTTGTTTGTCCTCAATCTTCAGTGTGTTAAAGCTAGCCTTCAGATCTTCAAGATCTAAACCGCCAATTGTTTCTTGATCATCCTCAGTGTGCTTGGTTTTTGTAGGGTCTTCCCCAATAAGATCGGCACCCACTTTGTCAGAGAACTCTTTGGCAAGGGCTGTAACGTATTCCAGAGATAACGTATGGCGAAGGACAATAGACATAAGAGCAGGAGCCAACAAGGGATAGTCGTTGATCAGCTCTCTTGAAAGTTCTCTTTGGTAGTCTTCGGGAGAAATGGATTTGCCCTTATCACTCAAAACCTGGGTCATGTCCCAATCGGGCATTGTCGCATGATTGAGATAGAACAAATTGGACGATTCATTCATTTGTGTTTGTTGGTGAGCAGCTTGTTGCGCTTGCTGATCAAACAAATTAAAGTCGTATAGGTCATTCAATTGGAAGTGGTAGGCTGGAGGGACGGCATCAGGCGAATGGTGACCCTCGGAGCCAGAGGATGTGGAAGAGCTAGATAAGAGTTCATCGCCAGAAGAGGAGGGAGGAGTGATGGGTTGAATAAGCAGTTGCTTCATGAGTTCTTGGTTCGCTTGACGCAATTTTTCATTTTCCTTCTTGAGATCCTTGATGGTCTTTTCATGATCTGACACCTTTTCCTCTAGTTGAGTAATATATTCTGTAGAGCATCGTTAGCTTGATGCCTATTCACAGCGAGATGGCAACCTACCCTTTCTTCGAACTCTAAAGTTACGAGCAGAGATCTTGTTTCTCAATTGACGTCTTTCCTTGGAAGTCATTTGTTTCAAACTGGAATTAGAGTGATGCATGTCGTCTTCCAAAAGCATATCATCGTCTGAATTGTCTTCAGCACTGCTGTGATTTGTTGGATTTGCGGCGGCAGCAGCCCTCTTCTTCTTCTTGTAGCTCTGAGGTGATTCTGTCACAAAGATAGGCTCCTTGAATTTGGCTTTCTTTGGGGCCGTTTGTTTCTTGGTCGCTGGAGTCGAATGCGGTAGAAATGTAACAAAGTTATCCTTTTCTTGTACAACAGACACTGAATCCCTGAACATTGCATCAGAGATTACAATGGGGTTAGGAGCCTGGGATTGTCGTTCAATCATCTGATTCGCTTGCTGCAGTGGGGAGGTAGATGAAGGAGCGGAGGCAGTGGAGGGAGCGGCAGGGGCAGGAGGATGAGGCTGTGTATGTTGTGTACTGATGGGTAGAGATGCTGGGTTACTGTTGTGTATATTGCCTGTTTGTAATATAAATTCAAGAATATCAGCTCCAGAATTCTGTGGATTGCGATGGCTACTCGCAGATTCATCAGGAATCGAAGCTAACCCAACCAATGTATCCATTATATCATCGTCGCCATTGAGCCATGTGTTCAAATCAATTTGATCCATGTTGATTTTTTTTGTTTTTGTGTTGAATTAAAAAAAAAAAAAAAAAAGAAGGGTGAAGAAGAGGATCTACCGATAATGATGGGGGATATAAATAATCAAAAGAAAAAGATAGAAAAAAGCTGAAACTTGACTGGTCGGATTAAAAGGATCCAAATCAACAGTGACTGAAAGGCCAGACGAGCATTCATTGCCTTTTTGAGCTGATGCGGTACGTAAGATGCTGCCTTTTTAGAATCCTGTAAGCGAAATGCCGCACATTTCAGAAAGGGTATAAATACAAAGCCATTGGCAAAGAATCGCCTATCACGCAAAGGGCAAACAAATAATTTATTTGGCACGAGTTGAAGAAAACAAAAGTAAATGTAGAGTCTACTTTATAGAATGGATATACAATGTCAAGAAGGTATGGAGTAAGATGCTTGTCGTCTATAAAGTGAGATCTTCCCCTTAATTGTAATGATCGCATTATGAGTCAACATAAACTTATTGAGGTGTACAAAAGGGAGTTCTGGTCGTAGCGGGATAGACAATGCATCCAATTTCTTTGAGGTGCTCTTCTGGTGTAGGAGATGCCATCACCGTGGAGGTTGCACACACTAATGTAGCAAGTAACACTAAGAGGGCTTTTGGAGTATTCATGATGAATTAATAATAGTATGTTTCCCCGTGAATATCCTCTTCTTTTATATGTAAACATAGACGGCACCAAAAACCGGCATTTACACCCCACACAATGTTGCCATCATCATGCCGACTCTCTCATTTACATGTCAGATGTAATGTGCGGTTCTGCAAGAGCCTCCCTTCTGTGTTTCATTGCATACGACAATGCCGACTTCGTATTAGGTTACCATTTAATTAAAATTTCGATTTACATCTTAATTCTTTCACCCACGTTCTCTACAAACAATGGTGATGAAGGATGCCATGATGATGAGATTTATACACGTCTCCTACTGCTGTGTATCTTTGATGGCCCTTTCAAGTACCGAGGAAGCTTATAATTCATCTTGATATTTGCCGGTTGCTAATGAATATACAAATCTGATGATACATGACCTTCCACTATATAAAACTCTAACGTTACTCTAGCGAACGGTGCTTTAGAGATGCATAGTATGTATGATGCGGCAAGGAATCAATTTAATTCGCTTCACCTAACTACACATCCTAGTTATGAAGGACAAAGCTGAACCTCATCACATTTGTGAATAGCAACTCTACCTGGTTTGAAGATTTTGGAATCTATGGCGACAAATCATCCTATTTAAAACAATCGTATACAAATGCCCGAGAGTAAGCTATTTGTCCTTATCTGCAGCCAGTAAATATCCTGTACGTGATGTGAATGTAAAATATTGTTTCATTCATACCGATCTATCTTCCCGAGCATCTGCACCCATTCTGTTACAGAAATTTTAATTATTTTATAAACTACGTACATGACACTTGTGCAAGGTAATAATGAGGTGTATAGACATGTGTAAGGCACTCGACCACACATACTGACAATAAAAAAACAGTAGCGTACAAGTGCACACATAGTAGTCTTCTCGTCTTTTCGAATCTACGCACATTGTATGTAGCTATCTTCAAAATGTTTAAGCCATCTGATCTTTTATAATGTTTGAGCGGCTCGCTGGACCATAGGGAGACGAAATGGAGAATGCAAAATGTGATAAAAGCCGGCGAGATGTATGTTAACTGCCGTACTTGATTCTCTAAAAGGACAAGGGCATAAATGGTTTACATAGCCTCTTATGTATTAAATTTGCAGCAGACAAATACAAAATTTTCAAGGCATACATTGCAATAAGTGTGGGCTTAGTGGGAAGCCAACAATAAATAGTTGAAGAGTATGACTTGCGATGCATATGCCATTGACAATATACTATACAGCTGCTCTAGCATCTCATGTTTTAAGCACCTGCTGGTAATCAATACTATCTATAGCGACTCATCAGCAGCTAATCACAGAATTATCGGAGTTTAATTTCGATTCTTAATTTCTGTCCCAAAAAAATTCGTAAAATTTACAATACTTGATAGCATGGAATTTCACTATAAGAAACGGATTAGTGTCTTATATCATTTCTGTAGAGCTCAAAATTCTGCATCTGATCATGGTATTTATAAGCTTTTATTTATATTTTTGGCGGTCGAGTTTAAGAAAATACGAAATTACTGTTTTTGGATAAAACGTTCTACTATTGAGTAGCAAGAGAGCTGTAAACGGTATCAACATGTAGAGCGTGTTGACAGCAATAGATCGAGCTACTATATGTAGCTATAGGTGCATTTTCTACAGAGAAATTCAAAAATTTCGACCAATTTTAGGGATGTCAAAAATTGAGGACGACTGAATGCAAGGCAAAAATGGCCGCCAAATTCACAAAATATTTAATCACGCGTTTCTCTATGAAAAATCAACATTTTCACAAGCTTCAAAATGGATTTGCTAGAGGTCATTGAGAGCTATAAAACAAGCCTAAAAAACCAAATCTTTATCGGTCGGATTATGCGCTAGAGGCAAAAACGTCGAAATTACACCTACAAAAAAAATTCTTTGATACGCAAATATGCAATAAAGCACATCAAAACAAGTTAAGGACAACTTGCCAAATGTCTGTAGCTTGATTTCTCATCGAGATATGGCTTTTGGAAATTCCCAGTTTTATAGTGGGAGAAATCGAACTCAGGCAATGATTGACTCTTTTCATTGCAAAATGCAGTTGTCTAATGAAAGGCAAACATGGAGCATGTAAATGTGTAAGAGCTTGATGCTGGATGTTGAATCCATGACCCAGAAAACCTTCAAAGGTACAACATCCGGATCGGATACGTGACAAGTGAAGCAAATTTAGCCCCAATAACGCTTTGTTGAGCTCCGCACAAGGATTACAAGTAGATGCGATCTGCCAGCCATAGTTTTGTTCCTCCTCTAATCCAATATGGTTCGTATTTCAGCATATACATAGGACGAGAGAGAAAAAGATCATGGCTCAAAGGAACTACAGTTCTGCTCAACAACATACCATATAGCGACTGATGCTTAGATGGAGTCGCCAGTGTACCTGTGCATCGATGGATGTCATATTACGAATGGATGTTGAATCAGATAAGGAACACGGACATTCGAACTGTATGGATGCATGTATGCAAACATTGAATAACACCATCCATCCATTCAATGCAAGATAAATCAATCCAATCTAGCAATACCATCATACACATTTGGCATCAACATGGCCGCCATTGCCGTATATCACTTCAACAATTGCGACATACCTGATTTGACGACACTTGGATTAGGATCCACCCTGCGAATTTGAGCCATGTTGAATTTTTCTCGACATCCTACTCAATCCTGACAGAAGATTAATCGTTATTGTTGAATGTTATTAGGCTAAAAAGGACGTTGCTGGTAAGCCTAGCTCATCATCTGGTGGAAAGAAGGCCAAGAAGAAGTGGTCTGCTAAGAAGGTCAAGGATAAGGCCAACAACTTGGTCATCCTCGATAAGCCCACCTACGATCGTTTGTTCAAGGAAGTTCCTACCTACAAGCTCATCTCTCAATCTGTTTTGGTTGATCGTCTCAAGTTGAACGGTTCTTTGGCTCGTATTGCCATCCGTGAGCTCGAGGCTCAAGGTTTGATCAAGGCCATCTCTCGCCACCACGCTCAAGTCATCTACAGTAAGTTGCAAATTGTATGCAATCGGTGAATTATCTAATTAACATGATCATTGTGTTAGCTCGTGCTACTGGTGATGAAAAGAAGCCTGTTGCTGCTGATGAGGAATAAATGTTGTTTTAATACACTATTCTCGACAACAATAAATCTTTGATTAAATCGTTAAACAAATGTGTTTTGTGAATAGGGAGAATGCTCCAGGAGATATTTGTGCTTTCTCTTTTTCACTATTTCAAAGTTCAAGGGGTGAATTTATGAGTTTTGAAGTTTTAGACAAATCATTGTACACACGTGTTTTTGGATACTTTTGTCTAGCTGGGAGAATAACTTGCTTTGATGCTGTATGGATTTGCATTTATCAATCACACAAAGCATCTCCATAGAATGCATATATACCTCAACTCTCTGGGATCACTAGGCACACGAATCAGGCCAGGAAGATAAATTGATCCGAAAAGCATAAATCAAATACGAAGCATTTGATTTCGAGTTACCTCACAAGGAAGATACTCCAAGAAAGGACCGCCTCTATAGATTTTAACTTGATCAAATGTGCCTGTACAACGAGAAACGTCTTAAATGCCTCATCATAAGACTGTAAAAAAGCGTTTATTCAAGTTTGATGCAGATAAATTTCCAATCATGCTTTTGACATTGGGCAATCTTGCAACTAAGCTAAACCTTCGGAACCAAACAGCACAACGAGTATCCTCTAGATGGCATTTCTGTGTAGCAAGGGATTCCATGTAAATTGCTTCGTGCTCGGCATTGAGATCCCTACATGTGAATAGAGGCCAATCCACTTCTTCTCCATCCCACAGCTAAAGAAGATCGGAAGCTGCAGTTTGTCAGATTGTCATGCTAATGATGAACAGCGTTGTCTATGGAAATCCTCCAGCCTTGCAAGATGTGTAGATAGCCATCTTTTCTTGCGTTGATTCTAATGACCAAATGTGATACACATTCGATTTCTTTACACGATAAAAACATCATTGATTCAGACATTTGCTGTTGATCAAACGGCCTAAAGGCACTATGTAGTCTAATCTTGCAATCGCATAAGAATGATGTTTGTTGTGTGACGTATAAAGCCGCTTCTGTACGCATCTACATACGACATTTATCTTGCAAAAAAAATACATATAATAACGCACATGAGATATTTTTTTGACCCTTATTAAAGTCAAATACTGTATCCCCTTCTTTCTCTTTTCTTTTTCTCTTTCTCTCTCTCTCTCTCTCTCTCTCTCTCTCTCTCTCTCTATTTCTTCCCTCAATCAAGTCAACACACAATGCTGTTGCCCTTGAAAAAGAAAAAGGCGCCAACAACGGATGAAGAGAACAGTTTATGCATAGAGAGCAGCTCCAGATATGGCGCAATACCCACAGCTAGCGCTCATTCAAGCGACGAGTTTTCACACAGTGATCCCGAAGAAGGAGAAGGGGGCAGTAGCAGCCATAGCAGCATCAAAAAAAGAAAGAAGCGTAGAATGGAACAGCGACATTGCTGCAAAAAGAGTAGGCCAAAGATCTCCAGTAGACTCTCCTCCATGTTGCACCATGGTAGTAAAAAGCGACACTCTTCTGACTCTGAGGACAATCTCCGAGCTACCGATCTCGTTTTACCTGCTCTTGATCCCAAGTAGGATAATTTCAAGGCAACGCATGCCCAATGAATGCTGATGCAATTGATTGTATTATAGTGCCAAAGAAGTCAAGGAATCCATCCAATGCAACAGTTCATTGGATCAACTGCTTATGCGTCAACAGCAAATTAATCTAAGCACTGTGCGTGCAAATTACAGGGTTGAGAAGAGAAAAGCTCGGTAAGGCACACATTGTCAGAATGATACTCACTTCAGGCACTCATGCTCTTCTATGTAAAACAGACATCATGTACAAAAGAAATCATTCAAGGACCATGTCAGAATGTTTTTAGAGACAAACTCAGTGGTGTTGTTTATACGCAATTTGTTATTTGCTAAAAAGACGATTATTCTGTTTGTCCATCTCGATTTATTGGTCGATCTGTTGTTTTGCCTTGCATATCTCGTTGAGATGAAGCAAGAGTCAGATGTTAATTTAGATCCATTTTGGCTTTACAAGTGGAGATCTTATGACTTGTGGTTAGTGTTGTAGTTGGTATGAGAGAAATGGCGTTCTCAAAATGCACTGTTATTCATAGGCTTGTCTGTTTGGCTCTGTCGTATTGGGATTTGGGCTCATTTGCTATCCGTAAGTGGAATTTCCGTTTCATGCAAATAATAGTGGCTTACGTTACCGCAGGTTTCTTTATTTCCAAGCACCCAATATCTGTGTTATTTAGCTTTCGATGTTTGATTGAACTCGTCACTACAGTGCCATTCATGGTCTCCATTTACATACCCCATGGTCGCTATCTTTACGTGCCTTATTTCATACGAAGCTGGGTGCTCCTCCTCAGGATCAAGAGTGTGATGAAGATCAAGGTTAATTTGCAGTTAACAGGTACACATGTGCTGTGTTGTGCGGGTAACAGCATACATTAAATATTTGCGATAGACAAACCGGTGGATCCACTTCGAACAAAACTGATCATTCTGACGTCTACATTGATTGTGTTGCTGTTCACAGGTACATGCGCCTTTCAATACTCTGAAGTGACATTTGGCACAAACAACTATACTATCTTGGAGTCACTGTACGTTGTCATGGTTACACTATCTACAGTGGGTTACGGTGGTAAAATGTATCAAAGCGACTGAAATGCCTCATTACTCACATGGCGTCATTCCGTTTTGATAGACATTACGCCAAACACACAAGCTAGTCGCATTGTTATGATGTTATTGATTATCATTGCATTGTCGGTTCTCCCGGGTTTAGTAACTGACGTATCCGACACATTGAGAAAACGCAAAGGTATGTTAGTCTTTTGACATGTAGGCAGGTGCAGATTCTCAAAGTGAGTTGTTTTGCAGAGGGCGAAGGACACGTTAGTAGAGGTAGCACATCGCCTTTCATCCTGATCGTAGGCTCCTTTACACCAGATCAAGTCGTTGAAATCTTGGATGGCTTCTTAAACACAGAAAACACGGAATACCATCTCAGTGTTGTGTTTCTCGACATCAATCGACCCACAGAGCAACTAAAAGTGATGGAAAGAAACTCAATTTGGGGCCATCGAGTCCAATTTCTTCATGGCTCTGTATTAGTAAGTTTTGCTTGTATATGTGTTGAATATCACACGCTAAGCCTTTAGCTGATAGGACGAAAAGACGCTTTTGAGAGTGGTGAGTATCTTTAATTTGAATGTGCCTCCAGAATGTCGCATTTATATCATCGCTGTAGGAAGCTAGATACGCCGAAGCAATTTTTACTATCTCTGGTATGTCTCTTCCATAAGTTCCTTTGTATGCAAAGCTAATTGGATGATTAGATCAAAACGCTTCAGAGCCGTCGAAAGAGGATGAAAGAAACACGGTGCGATTATGGTCTTTGTACTGCCACACAGTCAGCCACAATGTCCCCATTTTCACCTACAATCTGTCACCTAGTACCGCCATATACCAAAAAGTAGCAAAGGAGATCATTTGTGTCCGCGAATTCAAGCAGTATCTTTTGGCTATGAATTGTCGTTGTCGTGGTGCGTCTACCTTGCTCACTAATTTACTGCATCAAAGACAGCCGATCAATCAGTACGATGAGGGATGGCAAGCTCAATTTGGTGAGTGCAATGACTAAAAGCGTATACTTGACACTGCTCTAATGAATGCAAATACAGATGATGGTTCATGCAATGAAATTTACACTGGAAAAGCACCTCTCTGTATAGAAGATCTCACATTTGGGCAAGCAGCATTGGTAAAGCATTGTACTCATTTTGCAAGGACGGATAGTATGCTCATTCTCAATGCTTGTAGTTTTTGTTTGAAGAAGCGCAGGTCATCTTATTTGCCATCAAGACATTCATGGAAGAGAGAAATGACTATGAAATATTGCTGAACCCTAGCAATTCCTACAAGATCAGAAAGACAGATGAGTGTGTTTATATAGCAGAGGGCCCTCGAGAGATACAAGAAATCCAATCTTTGGTAAGGTGCAGATGTATTCGTTTGCATACATCAAAGCCTGATACACTTCATAGCCCAAGCCAACTCCAACTCAATTCAACACTGACAGCAGTTTTGTAAGACCCAACAGCAGAGCCACTCAAGACCATCAGCATATGCCAGAGAGTTCTAAATCAAACGATTCCACACCATTGCAACAATCCACGCACAACCTCTTGGCGGCAACATTTAACCGACAGCCCTCATCCGCATCCACAAGTACAACTCGGTCATACACATCACAAAAGAGCGTAAGCAATGTCTCGTTAAACCAGACATTTGGCGTCTCCAAATTGCCTTCAAAGCGACATGCGCTTCTCACAGGCAGTCGAGCCCTGATCAAACGCATAGGCAAGTCTTCTGCGTCAGAAAAGCTGGAAGACGACACATCGCTGCCCTTGTGCTATTTATTGAATGAACCAGTTCGATTGGACGATGTCACTATCCAAGATACAGATGGAATGAACAATCATGTGCTTGTTTGTCTACATAGAGAAGTCATCAACATGTTCAAATTCATCTATAATCTGCGTTCACCCAATATCAAAGCAGATGAGCTGCAAGATATTGTACTGCTGTGCTCAAAGAAGCCTTCGCAAAAGATATTTGAACTGATCAATACTTTTCCAAAGGTGTATTTTATGGAGGTAAGGCTGCTGTACACTTTACTGCATGCATTTCATTTACCACAGTATATTCGTATCGCAGGGTAATTGTAGACATCCAGATGATCTTTTGAGAGCAGGTGCTAAACGAGCCAAGCAGATTGTCGTGATGAGGTAATTTCAGCTTATAGCTCATTTTTGGTCTCCAGACTAAAACACCCCATGTGTTAGTGAGAAGGAATGCTTGGATCAGTACGAACGCAACTCGGATAGTCCTGCAGTGTAAGTTGGAGCACAAAAAAACGCGTGCCTGAATCAAGTCTAATTGCTTGTGCCTACAGGATGGCAAGCCATATTCTTGATTTGCTTTTGCAAGAGAGACCAACGGATGCTTATACCATTGTGAATTTGAGTATGGAATCCTTCTGTCATTGACTGCACCATTCGCTAACACCTTCTATTAGTTGAAAAGTCCAACATCAAGTTTATGCATCTGTTGCAAGGAAAAGACGTTGCCGAAGAAATCGATGTATTCTATACACCTGCCTACGCAGCAGGCGATGTTGTTGCAGACAGTCTCATCAGCAATGTCTTGCTTAGCCAAACCTACTATAAGCCTGATATTGTTTCCATCATCAAGACATTGTGTGGCATGCCTGGCCCATTGTACGATGGTTCCGCTGCCTACCTGTTATCAACGACTCCTGAAATCACATCGGCTAGTACTGCTGCTCGCCTAGCACCTCACCTCACAAGCATACGATTGCCCATCGAGTTTGTAGGACGTAATTATTCAGTCTTGTTCAAAACACTGCTGATACAATACGAGGTCTTGGCGATTGGACTGTATCGTGCTCCTGGCGATGAGCTGGGAAATGAATTGCCTTTTGTGTATGCAAATCCAGTTCCTTCTTTGATATTAAAGGATTCGGACATGATCTATGTCTTTTCTCCACCTGGCTGGGTACTGTAAAATAATCATTATTGCTTTTATACCTAATTAAACAAGCATGCAGTTGTATCATACACATGTAAAAAAATACTGTTTTTATTGTCCATGATGGTGGATATATAAGAACAAGTTACCCATTTAAAAACTCAAAGCAATCTCGCTCTGGTTGAAGTAAGGCAGCTTTGGCATTTCCTGATAACACTAGCTCTTCGATGGTGGCGCTTGTTTGACGGTAAATGCGTTCCAGCGAAGAATTGGGGTATTTTCCAAGAGAAACCAAAATGGCAGAATTCAGCTCTGAAGCCACTGTCTCGATCCGTCTTGTTTCAAACAAGGGCGCTACTTTGGGATGTGTCAAATCTGTGTAGGCTAATATAGACGATGCAGACTGTGGTATGTATTAGTGTCTATGGCTATCCACACTACTTGAATGGCAAATACCTCTAATTCTATTGCCATGGCCCTATTTGACTTGGCCTCCTCCTTGTACGCATTTTTTAATTCGATACCATAAGCTAATCCGTCAACAAACGTGGATAAATCCTCTCTGGCAATTTTTTGCTTCTTCCTCTTGTGCTCCGAGTCCAAAGAGGCTAAACTTGTGGCTCGTTTGATGGAGATGGAAGGCATGTTTTCCGACACCTGTAAGCTTTGTGCCTCTTCTTCAGAAAGCGCGGCATCGTAGTCCATGGCATCGATTGGCACTTTGTCTCGGTGAGCATGATCTGCTTGCTCATGTGCTTGTCTGATCATCTCTATAAACTTGCGACATTTCAGCTTGAATAGAATCATGGGGTTGTTCTCCAATACGTTGGGATATAATTCATCACATAGCTTGAATACATGATCAATGTCACCATCAAAGATAGCTTTACGGATTTCTAGTAGTTGTTCAGTATCACTTGTTTGTGCGACAGTAACAGCATTTACCTTGTCTGTGTGTTGCCTCTAGATCCAACTCTAAATTTGATGCCTCTACAGACGGCAAATTCCCCTTTTGAATGATGGAAGCCTGCAGTGATGTCGCTGCTTTGTGGTATCCATTGTGCTTCAAATACTCCATTACCACATTATCAGCTAGGTTGTTGGCCAAGGAGTTGTTGACAATCTTGAATCGAGATGATGTCAATGCTGGTTTCAATGCAATGCGCCCTAATAATCCTCGTTTTTCGTTTGCCAGCAGCTGATATATGTCAAATTTGAAGGGCTTGGCGCCGAAATTGGCCTCAATTTTCTCGCCTGGAGTCTTGAAACCAACAAAAGGGAAGAGCTCTGTGTCCTTTACCTTCTTGAAAGCGGAACCCAGGTAAATGCCGTTTTTTGTGTAGAATGCAGACATGTCTCTGAAATCGATGCCACATCCTATAATGTCTCCAGTGCCGTATTTGGGTCCGTATGCTTTCTCGGTGCCTGGGCCAGAAAACACATGTCCGTTCTCGCCATGATAGCCCCATGAATGCTCTTCCCAACCTTTGGATAGTTATGATTAGCCTAGTCGTATAGAATATCAGCAATGTCATTACCAGGAAATCTGTCCAAGCTATTGATGCGTCTGCAAAATCCGATGCCAATGTGTCCATCCACGCCTTTCGAGATAACCTTGATCTCAAAGTAATAGATACCGCACTGCTTTCTCATTGCATAATTCGCTCGCACTGATGCCACGTCGCTCTCGTCCTTTCCATTTCCTGTCACTTGAGCTCAACAACCCTGCACGCATAACACCACAGACATTCTTACCTCTGTAGGTGAGTTGCATATAATCTCTACTAATGTCAATGTTTTCGCCCTTGGCCTTCAAATCCCAAGCAGATGGCAATCGTAAATCTTGCATCACTAACGATAATTTGAATGAATCTCCATTGATTAAATTCTGCAAATCCTGAAACTCTTGCGCAGACGGTGTCTTTTTGAGATTCGCATTCATGGTGGCAGAGCTTGAAGCAGAGACACCATCGCTTATCAATGACTCAATGATCATGTTGACATGATCCATGTCCTCGTCATCGTCGTCTGGCGATGCCACCTGCTGCGATAAATCAAGTGTAGTGTAAGTTCGGTGCAATCGAGTAGGAGGAAGAGGTGGTCGAGGTGGAGGAGGCAATGCTGAGCTGCTGCTTTGATGGCTGCTGCTGTCTGATTCGGCATGTGTGGATTTTGCTACTAGCTTGTTGGGGTTACAGATCTTTGTATAGATGAGCCATTGTTGCTTGACGAGTTCAGCATAGACGGTGTTCATGAGGTAGTTGGGGATAGAGGGCATCCCTTCCGATTGTCGTTCATAGAAAGCCTGTAACTCCTCTTTGTAGGTTCTGTGTTTGAGCATGCGAGAAAGGGCATTTCGAGAATGCTGATTCAATGCCAACATGGAGGGATTTCGTCTCACTCGTCTGGACGGATACTCAGATAGCAAGGATGGCGTTGAAGACGATGACATGTCGAGATTCTAAATGTGATTAAAGGGAAAAGAGGGAAGGAAAAAAAAAAAAAAAAAAAAAAAAAAAAAGAGAAAAAATGACCTGCCTAAAATGAAATCAGGGTGAGACCAGCAAAACGCAGATGCAATAGCAATTTGATCAGAAGGGCAGAAGGTGGATGAAGAGGAGGATCCACTCTGCTGTGACTGAATTTCCTTGCTACCATGTGCACTGAATCAGACCCTATCAATGCTGTTGCATGTCAATGAATCAAACGCTCATAGTTTGCTATCATATACGTAACCATTTCGATATATTCGAGCGGAACAGCCTTGTTTTGGAGGGCTTGTCAGGCATAAAGATTGAGGATCCTTTCAGTACCTTAAACTCAGTCATCAATAGTCCATCTTAACATGTTGACATCCTGCTGGCATTTGCATCTCACCTCGCAGTGTCAAAGGTCCTAGATGCACTTCTGGTGCCGCAGTCTGCTCATACAAAAGTACGTCAAAGTGGATCGCAACCTACCATGATTTTGATCGGCATTGGAATCAGCCTCTGATTTGGCCAGTGCATCATCGTTAGAAGCAGACAGGAATCGCGTAATAATTACCGAGAGAGTTCGTGCTCAAACAGAAATTGTCTCTCTTTTTCGTCACAAATACAAAATGGAGGAACATACCTTGAACATAGAAAGCCATTTGATGTGCTCTATCTGGTACGCTGAGTGTTGAACATGACGAGAGCGCGCCTCATATTCAATGCTTTGTCTAGCTCCAGCGAATTTCTACAGACAACAAACATCGCAGAGTGTGGTCATCGCTTTTGCTTGTAAGCTTGCTTGGATCATCTCGCCACTCTTCCTGTGGAATGCTAACTATGAATTGTAGTAAATGCATACAAGAGTCATTGAAGGAAAGCTCTACTTGTCCCAAGTGTCTTCAACCTGTTGAAATCAAGAACCTAACCGCTGATTCGAAACTTGATAAAGTGGTTGCTTACATGGACTTGCTCAAAAATGAGCTACTGACTCACCCTCTCACACCAACAAGTCTTTCTCTACAACAGCAGCAACATCAAATGAGTCGACATTTACAAGTTACATCTAATTCAGACGAAACTGCGGAAGAGTACCAACTAGAGGAGACTTCGTCTGATCTCATTCCATCTGCTGAAGAACTTGAGAAATCATTCAATCGAAAGAGGAAGCTTTCTGGTATGAACACTGAGAACACAGATACACAGACTACGGCAAACGACGAAGATGATCTAGAACGAGAATTTAACGACAGTTTATCCGCGTCAGCTATTCACGAAGCAAAGAGGCTCAAACCGTCAGAGAGTGACTCAAACAGCCAACGTTCGCTTCTGCTCAAGAGCACTACCACTGAAGATACAAACATGGCAGAACGAAAGCCCAAAATCACAGACGACGAAGAAAAGAAGCGTTTGCTCAACCCTGAAAACATGCTTGGCGACATTTGGTCCTTTCCCCAAGATGACGATCATACAGCACAATCTCAATCACAGCGAAACGAAAGCAGTGCAATGGCATCTGCATCAGGAAACTCTGAGAGCGAAGCTACTCAGACAGAGCAGCAATCCGCTACAGATGAATCCGCTTTAGCAGATGAACCCATGTCTCAATCAAAGCAATCAGCCGAGAGCAAAGAAGTCAGCAAGGACTTCATCCCAGACACAGTATATTCTGATAGTGAAGACAGTGCCGATACCAAAGTAAGTACATACATACATTGGCTTTGTACATATTGCTGAATGCATCAACTCAAACAGGACATGTGGAAATGCAGCGAGTGTCAATTCACAAATCAACTTTATATACAGGCGTGTGTAATGTGCCACGCTTTTCGAAATCGCAATACCAATGGTGTGCTTCTATCAGCAGAAGCATCCCAAGAATCAGCTTCTATCGATAAAGCAGCCTCTCCAGCACTACCAAAAGAGCCATACAAGATGACTGTAGCGAGTGATGAGGAAAACGGACCAATCGACAGTACTTTTACCGTGCCGAAAACCAGAAGACGCGACAGTAGCACCAGCCGCAAAGAAGTGCACATCATATATACTGGGCTTACACCAGAAGACGAGAAAAGACTAGACAAAATCAAGGAAGAAGCAGACCTGACGCTCAAAATTGTCATTCACTATCAAATGAGAGATTTCGATGATGTGACACATGTCATTACAAGCGTGGATAAGAAACATTTGTGCAAGAGAACGCTCAAATATCTGCAAGGCGTATTGAAGGGCAAATGGATAGTTGATCCTCAATGTAAGACGATGTGCTGTATATAGAAACTCGATATGCTGACTTTTCTTATTTTTCAGGGGTAATTGATAGTACCAAATCAAAGAAATGGCAAGCAGAAGACAAGTATGAAGTGCAAGGAGACCACTTGACGGGAAAAACGTATGCGCCCAAGCTGGCCAGAGAACCACAGCAAGAACCGCTGTTTCAAGATATGAAATTCTACTTGTTTGGCGATTTCAGTGGAAAGCACAATAAGAATGATCTATTGATACTGTGCAAAGCTGGAGGAGCAAAGATTCTCAGCCGAAAGCCACCAGGCCACGTTGCCAACAAGCAAACGCTGAATCCCGCACAACCTGTCGTCATTTACAGCGCAGATCATCAAAAGAAAAAGAGGCCAGTCTGGCTGAACCAATGCCAGGTCCGTGATCCTCAATGGATCATTGATTGCATTAGCAAATTCAAGGTCGAATATTAAGAAAGAGAAGAGACGGATTTATTGATATTTATAATATATGAAAAAAGTGTACAAATAAAAGCGAATATGGATGTCAAAAGGATGACAAGAGAGAGAGAGACGGGTATATTCATAATCAATAAATAACTAGGAAAATCAGGGCATACATAGTGGGAATTAGTGTTGTTGGTTTACATTTTTCCATAGGTAAAATGTGAAAGAGCATATATATAAATTAAGAATTTGTCAGTGTGTGTGTGTGTGTGTGTGTGTGTGTGTGTTGTGTGTGTTGTGTGTGTTGTGTGTTGTGTTTTGATTCTATAAACATTTGCAGAAATGTTTGGTCCTTTAAATTGAAAAAACCGTTGTTTTTGAAATATTCAGAGGAATCAAAAGAAATAGTTGGGCTTGTGGTTTTGTGTGTGTGTGTGTGTGTGTGTGTGTGTGTGTGTGTGTGTGTGTGTGTGTGTGTGTGTGTGTGTGTGTGTGTGTGATGCGTTGGGTAGTGATTTATTGATTTTTTTTTTGATAGTTGAGAAGCACCACATTTTTCGGGTTCAATTAGATATCGGTACTAAATGCATTCTCCGGCATGTTCAATGGTTGATACGGAGCAAAATGGCCATTGGATGAGTGATGCTGTTGATGATGAGGGTGAGTGTTGCTGGAATGATGGTGCTGTGTTGTGCTGTACTGGTCTTGATGATGATGGGATAGCAGATCCGTTGTATTGGCACCCGGTGATCGCATCAAGGCAACAGCTGCGGCAGCTGCTGCAGCAGTACTAGAGGCGGCGGCAACAGCAACGGCAGCAGCGTTGGTAGTCGTAGAGGAAGATGTGGATGTGGAATTAGAAGTGGTTGTAGGCGCGCTTTCTTGGCAAGGTGTAATGCCTAATGCATTAGGATAATAGCCTGTGCTGTAAAATGAATATCCAGAATAATTTTGATGGTAAAATAAAGGAGATTGAGGTTGTGGGTGTGAATGATGGGTCAATGGATGCATCACATTGTGCTGTTGTTGACGTTGATCTGCTGTATTGGTACCAGAAGTACGGAAACTGCTATTCATGGCAAAAGAGGCTGGATCGTAAGGACAATCCAAAAAGTCTGGTTCGTCTCTATCGTACATGGAGCTGAAATAGGATCTTCTTGGCGAAGAAGAAGTCGATATGGTTACATAATTGGGAGTTGCTTCATAACCACTGTCAGATGAAGGAGGGCCTGATGATAGATCGCTGTCTTCTTGTTTGATGGATGTAGGTGTACAAATGTTAGGCACGCTTGAATCAAATGGGCATCCGTGCCTTGCGTATCGGCTGGAGCGAGGGCTTGAGTTCTTGGACATTAGAGTGCTTGGACTATGACCACTGTTACGACGAGTGATGCAAAAAGGACAATGACGAACAAATCGAGCAACCAATTCCTTTGGAATCCACGAGAACCGTCTTCTTACCAATGCTGAAGTCTTGTCTCTACCTCCGTGATGTGCTTCTCTGTGCGCTTTGACCAAGATATCATAAATTTGCTCCTTCATAGCAACAGGCTTGTTGTCATGACACACCAGATCAGTTGTTCCTGGCTGAAGTTGAAACATCTTCTTGACCCAAAAGCGAAATTGAGCAGTAGAAATGGCTGTATTTCGTGGATCTCTCAACACTTGTTGAATTAGACAGTAGCGATGTTGATCTACCAACGCTTTGTCTCTCTTCTTTGGGCTAAGATTGTTTAGATAGTCGTCAATGATGGCACGGAACTCATCCACAGAGGGAATTTGATCCTCATCGTCAAATGTCTCTTCAGGGGGAGTTGACTGCGAGTAGAGTCTGGCAGTGTTCTCATAGCGGTAACCAGAGTATGGATGATGATGATATAAAGGAATTGCAGTGTTCATGAAGAAGACAAAAGATGCAGATTTTTTAGAGAAAAAAGTAAGAGGGAAAAGAAGAAAGAGAAGAAGAGCAAGATGTTGATTTGCTTCGAGATTTATAAACGAAAAAAAAAGGGGAGATATGCAATTACCAACCATCTTCACGGTGAATATCAAGGAATGAATTGATCGGAACTCTTTTTCATTATTATTCATTACAATGTTTTATGCAGCCGCACGGGCCAAGAATAATAATACAAGATGTTAAGGGGAGAAGGGAAAGGTTGTAAAGCACAATAATGTACAAAATTCGATAAAGGAGAGATCACAGTAGACAAGTAACTTGGGCAGTAGATTTTAACCTTTTGTTTACTAGTAGTTTTCTTATTATAACGTTGTACATTAGATTTACAGCCAACTTATTTAAAAGATTACTTGGGGTTTCTTATTTTGTCTTGTTCTCCAACAGTGCTCTAGTTGACAACAATTTTTAGGTATCTGAAATGCCTCCTTTAAGCTCTCTGGAAGGCAGGAAAGTATGATATAATCAAATATAGCCCTTGTTCCGAGGATCTGGTTAATGCTTTCACAATCAACAAGATGGGATTATCATCATGATCTCTCAAGGGGAAGCAAAGGGAAACCGATGACGGATCCCTCCATTTAATTAAGCCTTTTATGGACCCAAATTCAATGCATTTGTTCAGCTAGAAAAAAAAATGTAATTTTTGCAACATGTACAGCTTTGTTATGGTATATTTCAACCTGGCTCTCTTCAGACCACATTCTGATGGTGGTTTTTAGAGCGTCATGGATGGCTAGCACCTAGTATGAAACGTACGCAGGGCTACGTGTAATAGTAATAGTATCCAATAGTTAAAATACCAAAGCGTGGCGTATGTATGAAAAATAGGAGTGCCATAATAATGAAAACAGTGGATAGAGATGTAAAACTCTGTTTACTACCCCAAATTCAATGCAGCGCACGGAGATCTTGTGTACTATTTACCACTCATGTACCAATTTTACTAGTTTCTCCCTAGTTTTCCATTCCTGATAGCATTAAATTTATGCCATTTGATATGCCTCGTTATTCTCAATAAGATGGCAAGAATGCTGCCTCCAAATTTAAGTTTGGTGCTGTTGTATGCCAAACATTACATATGGCTGTGGCGTCAGGCTTGTTGCAAGACGGACTGCAACAGCGATACTGATGATCTAGTCGAATCCCTGCTTGTCGTGTATGCGCATTAATTGCATCAAACTGTAATCTACTCACTTGAATAATGACAACGAAAATCACAAATCTCTTTATGGAATGCCACATTATTATTATGCATGAACAACCCATTATTTTGATCATCGGCTCCAAACATAAGAAACAAACAAATGTCATTCCTCAATTGTTGTCAATACGTTTTCGATGGTTCCTGAAAATAGAATCATTCTAATTTGGTCTATAGTGTGTGTTCACGATGATCCTTTTTCCTGTCGCATCAGGGAAATCTCGGCAAAAATACACTGTTTTGCATCTCCTTGGCTATCTGCTCTTCTTCTTAAATATCTCTTGTACATATCTCTTTGTTTGATCATGATCCCGAGATATAGTATACTATTTTGCTTTAACCGAGTGATACAGTATTACCCGAAGAGAAAAAAAAGGGGACGGTATATATATATATATATATATACGACACTTTATTCTTTTACGCCCAAATGTGCATGAATTTACAGTAACCTCTTCATTAGGCTATTCGTCCAGATCCATCTTGCTCTCTTCTTCGGCCGCAGGTGTGTTGGGAGCAGTGCTAAATTCTACTTTTTCAACCACGGCCTCCTCTTGCTCTATAGTGTTCTCCACGTCATTTTCTTTTTGTCCCTGTTGTTTGTCTTCATTTTTGACCTTCTTTTCAGACCCACCTTCCACCTGAATGGGCTCCCGTTTGAGAGTCTTTTTGATTTCGTCCTTGGTCTCTGTATCAATGCGATCTGTCACCACTTCTTGGTCTTTTGTTTCTTTTGCAGTCTCGTCGTCTTTCTTTTCATCGTTGATCTTGTCTTGTTCAATGGGCTCGCTTGCCGTAAAGTTATGTGGCTCGAGCTCGATGCAATTGTTGAATAAGGGTAGTAATTTCTCGCTACCAGTAGTTTCTTGCATGGTTGTATCTTTGTCGTTTGAATGATCATAGTCTTCCCAGTATGATGTAACTAATAGAGCCTGAAAAAATAAAGCTCAATGGCGTGAATGTTGTAATGCCAGTATCTTGAAGTTACCTTTTCGACTGCACGCAAGTATTTGATGTACATTTTGTAGTACTTTTTTGGTTCAATGACAAGCTCGCATAGTCGCTGAATTGTGAAGGGGCAGCTATGCCAGCATCATCAGCCATCGGTCGTTAGGTTGACATGGTGTAAGCTTACTTTGAATGATCATTGATACTATGGCTAATCTTGGCAGCCAAAACATCTGCATCTTTTTTGGCATTCTCATCTTTTATATTATTCTCCATGATTTCATGTTGCTAAATACAAGTCAAATAGGGCTCCATTGGACATTCAGTATAGCCCATCTAGTCAAATACCTTTTTGATCAAGGAATCAAGGATCTTTTGCAGTTCTCGCCAGGTGATGGCAAGTTCATTTGTCTCTGCAATAGATTTCAGCGCGGGATTGATATCCAAATCGTCAAATGCATCATTGATCTCCACAAGATCAGGGCGATTGACTTTTTTCACTTCAACAGTATCATCAAGATCAACTGTTGCTGAGGAAAGATTTTCATCGCCATTAGTGATTTCTGACATGCTTTATATAAGAATTAGTATGGAGAAAAAGAAGAAGCGCGTCAATTGAAAGCGAGTGCGATTGTTCAACAGCTTGTGACGCGAGTTAATTGCAGTGATGGTCTATCACAAATCACTCTTGATGCATTGTGTACATTGGTGGCAGCAACTGTACAATCCACTTATTGGGCTACATGTTCACGCGATCAAGACAACCACAAGAAGCAAGCAAAAAAAAAAAGGCAGTTGAAGAGGGGAATATAGTAATATATTTCAAATTTATGTTAACGGCTTATTATGATGAGGATGGAGCGTCTGCAGTGTTTGCTGTCGCTGTCGCTGTATTATTGTTATTCGTAGTAGTAGTGTTAGTGGCTGTTGTTGTGGTGGAGGTACTTGATTCAGCGGCGGTGGCTCCGCTTTCTGCTGAAACGGCATTCAGAGGGAAATGTTGAACAAGTAATGCGTCAATGGAGTTAGCCAGTAAACCAGATTGCTTTTCCAATTCTTGTAATTCGTTCGACAGTGAGGTCTCGAGTTCATCGTACTGCTGTACCTTGATGGACAACTTGTCCACCATAGTCTTGACAGCCAAACGTGTCCAATGTTGAATTTCTTGGACTTCATAACTGGCCAGCTTGCGAGCACTCTGCACAGCACTTTTCAGAGCTAATGTAGTGGCTTCTTTTTGTATGTCTCTAGAGAAGATGCCTTGATCGACTGCTTTCTTTGCTGCTTTACGACCCTCTGCGGTTGCTTCGGACATCTTTTCGTCGGCATCTTCCCTCTTTAAATTGCTGGATTCAGCTTCTGTGTCAACCTCTTGCTTCACCACATCCTGCATCGCTGCATCTTCTCCGTCTGCATCCTGTTTGAGTGGTCCATCTTCTTGTCTGCCTTCGCCTGACTTCATCAACACCTTGAGTGCAGTTTTAGCTGCTGCGGAACCGACGCCAGGGTTGACATGGCCAGCTAAGAATGCAATTGTTGTCATGATAGGATTAGGCATATCTCCAAAAGGCAACTCCTCCAACTCCTTTTTTGTCAACTGAGCTGTAAGGAACTCGTCGTTGATAGGCAGTTGTAAAAAGTGGGTGATGCACTGTTCCTTGGATCGACTACCAACATGTTCAGAGATCATGAGCCAGTCATCATCGAATCTTTCCACGCCCTCCAATAAACGCAGTGTCTCTTGGGTTGTCCATGCCTCATCCATCATAAGCTCTGTATCGTCAGCCTCCACACGTAAAAAGTCGCCACTTGAGAATGTCGCAGGAAAACGGCCCTCCAGAAAACAGTCAATGCATACTTGATAGTTTTTGGCCTTGAGGGATCGATACGACACAGCGCTACAGTCGACGCTGCAATTGGAGCAATGGAATATTTTACGGCCGTCTGGATTGTTGGGGTCTTCGATTGTTAGATCCCAAGAAGAACGTGAGGGCGGCACTTGTGTTTCGTTGTAGATGAGATCCCTTAAATACTGAATATCGGCCTTGTCTATATCGTCCAAATTGCGCTGCGACTTGGGAGCGACTTGCGCATTGGGATCGCTGTCAATGTAAGGGTCGAATATTCTGCGACGTGGATCAGGTCTGGCATTAATGATGTTGTTCATTTCGAGAAAGTTGTGGATTCTAACCAACGTGACCAAATCAGCATCTAGTTTGGATTTGCAGGCGGACACTGTCAAGTAGAAATCTGGGTTGGCTCTGTAGGTGTCAACCATGTGGTTTCTATACTGCTTGTATCGGTCCTCTGATAGATCTGCGCTTCCAATTTCTGGCAGAGCCAACAGCTCGTTTTCACTGATGAAGGACTGATCGAACCACTGGGGAAGGTCGAATTCTGCATAGTCAAAGGGGGTTGCTTTGACCAAAGTTGATATGTTGAGAACTAGTCAACGTGAATGAATAAGATGTGCTTGATTAAACACTGTCCATTTTACCTTTGTCTTCTGTTTTGTCCTCGTCTAGTTTGCGCATTTTGTTGGGCCTCATGGGATATTCGACATTGACAGAGGTAAACTGCGATATGTTGGTCAAGTCGCCATTCAAGTAGGGCTCGAATTCGTTCTTTCGCTGTCTGCTTCCAATCTGCGGCTTTTCGGCTTCAATGTCTCTAACACGGATGACAGGCTGATAACCGACTTGAAGAACTGGCACTGATGGTGGAGCAGGCTCTTGAAACACTGAATTGTCAGTCGCTGTAGCAACGGATGAAGATGGTGAGGGCTGTTTGGCTACAGTCTTTAATTTGGGCTCTTCTTTTAGTGTTACGGTTGCTGCTGCTGTTTCGTCTGAATCAAGATCACTCTGTTTTCGTTTAGCAGGTAGAATTGGCTCCTGGTCTTGGTCGTCTTGGTCGTCTTCCTCGGCCTCTACACCATCTACTTCATGCTCGTCCTCTTCCTCCTCCTCCTCCTCCTCTTCTTCTTCCTCTTCCTCTTCCTCTTCTTCCTCGTCTTCGTCTTCGTCTAAATCCTCATAGTCCTCTTCGTTCATAAACTCGTTGAATCGTTCTGTATCTTGCAGCCATCTCACTGATATCTTCCATGAGCCATTGTGTTCTGGTGGTTCTTCTGGATCGGCAAACTGCTGTGTCTGGGGCAACCAGCTGTCGAATGAGTCTGGATAGTACCACCAATGCACCAACACCATATTTCCGTCTTTTTCCAGTGTTCTAAACCAATCCTCTTCGACACTGCTCTTGTTGTATTCGTGCAGCTTTCCGTGCAGGATGTGAGTTGCTTTATCCACATTGTCCACATAGGTAGCTACAGAAGATGTTTGAGTACGTTGGTTTGTTTTTATATCATACTCAAACGTTACCTCCTAGTCTTTTGATCATTGCAATGACGGTTTTACGATGGGCGTCTGTCACAGGCTCCATGATGGCGATCTTTGGTATATGGATGAATCCTTTCTTGATCAGGGCAGTTCGTACAGCCTGAACCAAATCAGCGTTCTTTTGTTTCTTGGAAGGGTTACCAAAGTCCCATTTCTTCCAATTGTGGCGAATACGAAATGTGTAGGCACTGTGGAGAATGGTGTAGATGGCTGTGTCCTTCTTGAGAAGCGTCTTTTTGGATACTTTGAACAGCTTGGCAGGGATTCGCACTGGTGCATTGCTGGGCCTGTTGAATGCGCCCAAACAATCCTGCTGAAATTGCTGAAATTGACCGATGAGCAAGGAGAGATCTCGCGCCGTGAATGTGATATCGCGCTGTTGCTTGGCCAATTCCTGAGTCAACGGCTTGACAATGTCGGTAAAGCAATCCACCACATCTGCTGATTCAAAATGGCTTTGCCCCAAGGCAGCTCCTTTTGGATTTCTCTTCGACATTTCCAAACTTGATTGTGGAATAGAAGGAATTTCAATCCAGTGAAAAGTTTTGCGACTCTTTTTATTGAGAGGCAAATGGCAGTGCTTACATGACGTCAGCTCATTGGCTGTTTTGCTCTACTTTACATCTGGTTATCATGCAATTGTATCAAAAGCTGTGCCGCGCACTCTATGACAATGAAATGTAAGTCAACATGTACCTCTGAAGCACATGTATTCACACTCGCCTACATAGAAACGAGTTGGGATTACTGCCCATGATCCCAGAGATGTCAGATGTACCGCCAGAGAATCAAAAATATCATCCGTTGATTGTCGTGGAGAATAAACTAGGCATTGCTAAGCAATGTTTGTCTATACTGCTCAAGGAAGCTCATGAATACTTTATCACGCTAGATAAGAGCGATCAACGTCATCTGGAGGAAGCAACTCGAATCATGGTATTGCTCAAACCAGATAATTATACAGCCATGAACCGAAGGTAACATTTGGACTATGTATAGGCCCATAAATGTCGAAGCCTTATGCCATTGCTGTAGAAAGCAACTGATCCAATCAAAGTACATTCAGCCCAAAGACGAAATAGCACTGTTGGAGCTCATTTTCACCATTCCAAAGCATTCTAAAAGTTCCATAGCGTGGTATCATCGGCAATGGATATTTGCTCATTATGCCGACTTGAATGTCGAGAATGAATTCAGACTGTGCACAATGGCATCCCTGTTGTATCCAAGAAACTATTATGCCTGGACCTACAGACACTGGGTGCTATCTACCTACTGCGCATCGGATCCAGCCAGAGTACAGCAAGAGTACAAAAGCACATGCCAATGGATCGAGCGCAATATCAGTGATTTCTCTGGCTTCCAGTACTTGCAGCAGGTGATAGAGATACACAGTGACATCCATCGAGAGTCTCACATGCGATGGCTCGACAACCTCATCATTCGATATCCTGGCCACGAGTCGCTATGGTGCCATAGACGGTTCTGCTCCCACCTGTTTGTTCGGTCTGAGGCACACTGCCATGAACAACATGCATTTATTGAGAATATCATGCAAGATGTGTACAAAGATCAATCGCTCTCGCTGAACAATGTGTCTCTGCAAAAGGAATTTGCCTTGAAGTTTGGGTTATTTCATCTTATCATGGCAAGTAATTCATATGAGAAGCAACTACTTGAATCTTACATATAATACAGGAAAAACAATCGCATGGCCATCTCTTTACTGATGCATCTACAGCCAACTTGTATTTATCAGTTGCCCCTACACCTCATTTCATGGATCTTCAGGGGGGGGAGAGCAACAAAGAGAAAAAGAGCAATTTTGAATGCAACTAAAATGTCATTTTCAAATCAATAAATCTTTATTGGGAGCATCATGTCTTTTGGCAAGGTCGCCATGTACCCAGGTTGATGGCAACATTGCTCTATAAGCAGCCCATCTCCTGTTTTACAACGTGTAGATAGAGTTGGGATATGTAAGGGGACCATTATAGTGTCACTTTTTAGTGTAAAATACCTGTTGAGCCAGCAGCAAGGAGATAGATAGAGAAAGAGTGAGTGAGACCTGTAATGTTCCTCTGCATAGAGGACATGGAGAAGAAAGGAATGTTGTTGTCAGTTAATCATGAAATTAAATGCGCATAGGATTGGAGCTGTTGTATGTTTGTGTGTCGTTTTTGACGTAAATGTCGATCTTTCTTATTACCATATATGTATCATTTCTACTCTATGACGATGCCACAGAGTGATGCTACCTCCTGAAATAGACCATTGCTGTATAGGATAGTGAACAACCGTTTCAACGAACCTTGTCGCTATTACCTCGGTGCTTACATGATGTCGACATGCACATATACAGCGATATATCGAATGTACAAGCACAATGATCACCGTTCTGGTATACGATACGCATTATGTGTAGATCTTGTCAAGTCTTCATGACGATTGTATTCGCAAGGCCTCCCCTTTTTTATAGTTATTTTCATCACTGGATGATGATAATGAATTTGCATAAAACTATATTGATGTCGGCAAATTGTAATGAGATGATTATGGTTCATTATCACTTGGTCTAGTATTTCTCCATCGGAAATCTAGAGCCATCCTTCAAACAAACAAACAAACAACGACTGAATAAGCTTTCAGTGGGTATAGCTCTTCAAGTCATGGTCTATGTCTTCTGTGGTATTACTAGCCGAGGAGCATGTTTCTATGTGTCTCATGCTGACCCCCAGGCAATATGGATCATATAAAAAGAGGCAATAAATAGAATTGCCTCCACAACTAAATAGGAGGACCCAAACAAGACACCAGAGGAATTGATATACAAACTACCCCGTTGTCCGTAAAACGGAAAAAAAAACCGCAGCTCCCTCACTCTGCAGAATACAGATTTCATCATATCCCTTGATTGCAAGCACTCGAGCAGAAATCAGTGAGTAAATGACCTCTCTCTCTCTCTCTCTCTTTTTTTTTTCTTCTAATAATAATTCTTTGATCTTTTAGCCTGTACATTTTATATAAATACATTTCCCTTTTTCTTCTTTTTGCTCATTCTCCTTTGCTTTCTTTTTCATCATTCCATTCAACACATCTCTGTTTATAACAGTAAACAATGAGAGACACCGCTTCACATATTCCCAAATTACCCAACATCAACTTTGAGAATGATTCAAGGCTATCATTGGACGACAGCAGCACTGTACTCTCATCCAGCCATATATCCAATGCAAGCACCATCAACACACAGCAACCCACTCGTCTGGAACGACTACTTCGCACTGGCAGCTTATCAGATTCTGGCTACCTTTCAGAGAAGAAAAAGGAAGAGAAAATATACACTGATAGCGAAGAATACACATTGACAGAACAGTATGAAGGGCAGCAGATGGAAGAAGATCCCTATCGATGGGTCATTCTTGTGGGTGGATTTCTTGCACAAGCCATCAGCATGTGTACATTATCAAGCTGGTAAATGTTTTATACAGAAAATACAATTCTGAATTTCGATACTAACCTGTAGATCTCTTTATTTATATTTCATGCAAATGTAGGGGTAAGTGATCTCACATCCAATTTCATTTGGAAGGATGCTGTAGTAAGGAGCATGTTGTCTCTCTCTCTCTCTCTCTCTCTCTCTCTCTCTCTCTCTCTCCAGCTCTTTATCTATGTTCATCTCTTTACTGATTCATTGTTATCCCTAGGTGTCATGCAAGACTATTTCGATCGGCAAGTGTTCAAAGGGTCTGTGGATGTTACTGAATTGAGCTTTGTGGGCACCATTGGCTTTGCTTTTTGCGGTCTGATGGGCCCTATCACACCCTTCTTTATGTCACTCGTAGGTGCTCGCTGGGTGATGTTCTTTGGCACCGTTTTGATATCAGCTGGTCTGGTATTAGCGAGTTTCTCTACTCAGGTGTGGCAATTGTATATTACTCAAAGTGTTATGCACGGCATGGGTGCGGCACTCTTGTACATTGTTAGTGAATATTGAACCGAAATTGTAACGATGATAGCACTCACCATTATTCTTCAGGTTTCCATGTCAATATCACCGCAATGGTTTGTAAAGAGACGAGGGTTTGCTATGGGCATCATGGTTAGCGGTTCTGGTATAGGCGGCTTGATTATGCCCTTCGTCATGACAACGCTGAATGAATCACTGGGAGGAGCTTGGTATGCATTCTCTAAAACATAGTCTTAATAACCGCTCTAATAGCTCTATACATAGGTGCTATCGGGTGCTAGGCATCATCACCTGTGTCGTAAGTCTGATTTCGACATTGCTGTTAAAAGAGAAACCCAACATGCCCAACGCCAAAAAGGTGCAGCTCAAGGAAATGATAAATCTCAGTATCTGCAAAGACCATAAATTCATTATTTGGTGTGTTGCAGGCAACTTGAGCATGTTATCATACTTTGTCCCTGCATTCTTCCTGCCATCGCATGCCACAAAGATTGGATTGTCGCCAAATCAGGGGTCTGTGCTAGTGGCTATCTTCTCTGCTGTCAATGTGTTGGGTCGCATCATCTCTGGGTAAGTAAATCATGTCGTTGCGAATTGCCCTTTCACTCATACTTGGCATCGTAGTTATTTGGGTGACCATATCGGCGTCGTCAATGTCGATATCGTCTTTTTATTCACATGTGGACTAAGTTCACTTTTTGTGTGGACGTTTGCCAATTCGTTCATCACGCTCATGATCTTTATCATCATTTACGGCTTTATGAGCGGTGCCGTGTTTTCGCTTTGTAAGTTTGACCCGTCTTGATGTATACAGTGTATGATGGTTCGCATCTAACTTGTATATACTTTTGTTTAGTGGCGCCAATCACCGCTACCATCACTGGCATGGAAAAGTATCCATCTGGTATTTGTCTGTATCTTTTCTTCATGACTGGAGCAAGATTCGGTCCTTCGTTGGCAGGCGCAATACAGGCAGCAACAAACAAGCACTCATTTTTTGCACATCAAATGTTTACAGGACTCGCATTCATACTATCAGCATTCGTAACCCTGTATCTCAAGTATACATTACAGCCCAAAATTTTGGCAAAGGTGTAAATAACTAACTTGTCACCATCTATTTATCTTATATATATATATACATATATATTAGCCATTCAGTTATTAAATAATTAAAATTTTTGTATGTTTATCAGAAAAAAAAAAAGCGCTGATGTGAAGAGTGTCGCTTAACCTCTAAAAGATGTACTGATAAGACTAGGCTTCGCACTTGGATGAACACTTTGCAGCGACTCAATCTCACAAATACATACAACCGTATTAGAAGCAAAATAGTGTCGTCATGGACAGACATGTTACTTTTTCAACTCGCAATTTCCTTTTTATAAGCGTCAAAAGCATCAATTACCTTTATAGCTAGAGAGCTATTCATGTTTGCCAGCCAAAATAGTTTAATCTCCGAAATTAAAGCATTTGCTCCAGATTGGCCATATTCTGTTCAACTTTGACTTGATTAAACTATCTCGCAACATTCGACTATGTAAGCTGTGTTGATCATCCCATACTTCCTAATACATTCTAGGAGTGCTTCTCAAGGCGCATTCAACGGTGCTAATCAAAAGAGATGCTTTGATTGAACTTATTGAGCAAAGTCTGAAAATACGAAATAAGGTTTTTCGCGAAAATGTTGAAATTTTACATATCAAGGTAACATAAAAGCGATTTTAGGGGTTGTTTTGGATAAATACAATCATTTGGATCTAATAGATACCATAGTAAAAGTCTTCATTTTTGAGGCGAAAAACGCGATCGTTTGATTTTCGATAAAAACTATGAGGGGTACCTCATGGTTTTGGGTCGAATTCTGGCCATGTTTTTTGGGTCCTTAAAAGGCTGAGCAAAGGTGTCAATAAGTAATTGTTGGATAAAAGCAGCCGTTTGGCGCTGTTCTGAGAGCCTAAAACGGCTTCTAACACGAGAAATCACGCCCAAATGTGTCCAGATTTTGCTGCGATTAGCATACTATTGAGTAATTAGAGGCAGTGCAAATATGCGGTCTGCCCATATTTTAAATGATTTTCATTGCTACAGATCTGGAACACCTTAAAAGAGGTTTTATCCAGCAGCTGCAGATTGTTCCAGAGAAACTTTTCACGATAATCAAAGGATTAAGAGTGAGAGGCTGATAGGAATTCTTCCGTTATTTTGTATTCGGTGTGCGAGTATATGACAAACAGCTTATTGTATTTGCCTGATAGGCCAATAAATGGTATAAATTTATTCAAGTATTTGTAAATAGCGAGGATTACATGTTTCAATTCTTGTTGGTGGCAGTGTGATTATTATGATGTTGAACCAGAGGGTCATCTGAGCCAGAGAAATTATCTGGCGTGGCTGTATGATCATCCTCTGCGGTTGAAGTCGTGTAAACTGTAGCAGATGCATCAGGAGACGTTAATAAAACAGTGTCCACTTCATTTGGTTTCTGTAGCTGCGTTCCTGAGGGTGAAGAAATAGGCCTGCCAGATTCATCGGTCCTTCCCATTGGTGCCAACATGAAATTGTGATAACTGTCCATTTGATGGTACATATTATTGCTAGCATCACTGCCCGTGCATGGTTGGTATACGTGTAAAATGACAAAACTTTACTGTACATATTTACCTGGAAAAATGGAGTGATGGTGGTGCATCCCAATAGCCAAATGACTGACGATAATGGTTATTGTCCACAACATTTTGATGCACAGCAGCATTGGATGCAGCAGACACATAGCCTGGTCCATAATTCTGTTCATGATAGATGTTGTTATCACTGTCAGTAAAGCAATTATTGTCGTAATACTGAGTTTGACTCCTGTCAATAGGAGAGATTATTGTAGGAGTCAAAGGGATTGCATTGTTGCCGCCGTACTTGGGTGCGTTAAAATAGTTGTTTCCAGCTGTGCTGCTGTTTGGGGGATGGTTGGTGAGTGTTTGTTGCTGGTTGCTCCAGTCAGCTGCTGCTACCATGTTGTTATGCGATGTTGTCGTTGATAGTGATGGATGTGAGGTAATTTTTGAGTTGACTAGAACAGCATTGATATCTTGCGATGGACGATGATTACTACCAGTGGCATTGTTATACTGCATTTGCTGGCTATGGCTTTCGCCATAATGGCTTATATCTTGATCGTCGACATAAGGTACAGGCAAAGATGCGTTGTTGCCGCCTTTACCGTCTTTGGAGAATGGCTTAACTCGTTTTCTGCGGCACCACCAAATGCTAGCGCACAGTAGAGCAAGCAACAAAGCACCGACTACGCCTACAATGATGCCTATTAGCCCCTTGGTGCCGCCAACACTTTGGTATTTGTCACTGGATGGAGGAGCTGCATAGCTGGATACAGCTTGATAGGACCAGGTCCAATCTGTCACATTGAGAAGCTGGATATCAACTGCTTTCGCAGACGCGTTGGTACCAGCAATCACCCATATTTGATCACCTATCAATATGGAGGTATGGTTGGAACGATACAGTCCTACTCCCTGAACTGGAGGCTGACTCCACGTATAGCTGTTCATGTCTCTGGTGTCCAGAGTCCAAACATCGTTCAGCAGATATGCGCCAGAGTCATTAAAATACTCGCCGCCGATCACAATGAGTGTGTGTCCATCTGGATGCAATGTGGTTGTATGATGTTTTCTTGCTGTCGGAATGGCACTGCCACTAGCGCCGATGTTGGACCATCTTGCTTTATGTACAGTGTTAGACAGGCGATGAATGCAGGTGCGTTAAAGAGTAGCTTACATGTGCGAGGATCAAGTACGACAATATCAGTCATATTAGCTAATGGAAAGTTTGTCACCATGTCCACGTTTGAGCTATTGTTTATGATGGAGCCTCCAATCACTACCAATTGGCCATTTGTATCACTAGCAAAATGAGTTTATATTTAGTAAATAAAGCTTGATTTGTTTGAATAAATAGTAACCTAATTTGTGTTATGGTTGCATTGGCTCTGGTAGGACCACTCGCATAAGTCAAACCTGTATTGAGCCACTGCTCTCCTTTGCTATCGTAAATGGGGACGTCCTGGTGCCAGTAATTTGGATAGTAGGATGAACTAGCACTAAGGCCTGTAATGGCTTCAGAGCTTCCTCCTGAAAGTATTGTCTTTTAGCGGGCAGGAGGGATTGAGGTCGAGGCCATATTTACCAAATATAAAGGTTAGATTCGTATGCGTAAACTCGTAGGCTGCGTTTCGTCTGGCCAGAGGAGCATTGACTGGGCTGATAATCTGTTTCCAAGAGCTTGATTGTGTGTTGTATTGGCATATGGTCATGGTGGATTCGTACACGCCATTCACATTGCTTCCCGCGCCAAATACATTGACGCTCACACCATCTGCATCGGGTAAGGCTGCTGCAAAATGCATAACTGGGCACTGATCATTGGTGATTTGCGAGGATATATCTGTCCTGTATAGACATGGATGAAAAATCGAGGCTTTACTCTGTACATATGGCTTCTTACACTAGCGGTTGCAAGGTATTGAAACTCTGCTTTAGATCAATCACCGAGAGCTTATTATCAGACTGCGTGTTCTTTGAGAATGAGAACACATAGATAGCATTGGATTGGGGTATATAGACAGGCTTTCCAGGCACTGGCACAGCACCAGGCACAGCAGATACTGAATACATGCTTATCAGCAAAGAGAGTGCAATCAAGATCTTTGTGCTCATCAGTTTCAACAAAGAGAATGAAAGAAATGTAAAAAATGGGAGGGAAAGGGCAAAATGCAAAAATATGAGAAGAAAGGGATTCAAGGGTGAAAAAGAGAGAGAAACAGCATCATACAGGAGTTCAAGTATGTCTGCAATATGTCTAGCTCCAAAGGGTTTTTACTGTATACAACAAACATAAACAACTGCTGAGCCCTCTCTCTTGCTTTAAGCTTGATGCATGCAAACTATTTAGGAAGAATTTCTTACTGTAATACATGGGATGATGATGAGGTAAGGAGTATAATGTGCAAATCATTCAAACACCAGCCTCTTCAATCCACTGCCATTCAATCCTCATTTCAAGGCTTCTTCTAGAACATGAAATTGTCCTGAACTAATGTCCCCTAATATGGCTAGCTGTCCCTACTGCGCTTTCTCTGGCTCTCGTGTTCTTTTGTTCATGCAAGAATCCCTTCAAGGCGATATCACATCCTCTAGTCGAGCAGCCCAACCAGCCAGCGGGCCAGTCAATCAGACTGAAATGCGGGTTAACAGTGCCCACAGACGAAAAATTCTCAGGCACTACCATCTTTAAACTGAAACTGGGCCAACACAATATGTGTCCTGTAATATTCTCAACGCATCAACAACAAATGTAACAGCTGTGCCATTGCAATAGCGAAACCTACAGTATAAAGATGAGTCAAGAATTGGCCCAATGACATGAGCAATACATTGAACAACAAGCCACCATTGGCACCAAGGTTTTGACATGTTTAGATAACCGCCCCGAATGTTTGAATCTGATTTTTTTTCAGGTGGTCAAGAAGCTTCTTTCTTCTCTACATTTAATTCTTGAACTCCAACATGGCTGCTGAAGCACCCAAGGTAGATACAATAGACACTCTCACATACACGCACACAGATACAGCGCTAAACTCAACGTTTGATCATAGACTGCTAAACGTGATGCCCTCCGTGCTCTTGAAGACAAGGCGCGTAGCCTCTGGGACAGCGAAAAGGCATTCGAAATCGATGCTCCTACTATTGAGGAACATCCCAACTCTGAGAATCTCCATGAAGTGTATCCCAAGTACATGTCTTGTATGCCTTACCCTTACATGAACGGTCGTCTTCATTTGGGACATGCCTTTACCTTTTCCAAGGTTGAATTTGGTACTGGTTATGAACGTATGAAGGGTAAGAGAGCTTTGTTGCCCCAAGGTTTCCACGTTACTGGTATGCCCATTAAGGTAAAGTAGCTCGATCTACCATGCGACAAGATCAGCCATTTCAGATCAATGGATATTGACACATCGTAATTATAGGCCAGTGCTGATAAAATTGCTCGCGAGATTGAGATGTTTGGAAAGAACTTTGAAAAATACGAGGAATTGGCTTTAGCTGATGCCCTCGAAAAGAAGGCCGAAGTCAAGAACGTCAAGAGTAAGGTCGCTGCCAAGACCGGCAATGTCACCTATCAGTTCCAAATCATGCTCTCTCTTGGTATCCCCATCACCGAAATTCACAAGTTTGCTGAGCCTTACTACTGGACTGAATTCTTCCCTCCTCAAACCATCTCTGACATGAACGCCTTCGGTGCCAAGGTCGATTGGCGTCGCTCCTTCATCACCACTGATGCCAATCCTTACTACGATTCATTCATCCGCTGGCAAATGAGAAAGTTGAAGCAAATGCAAAAGATCAAGTTTGGCGAGCGTTACACCATCTACTCTATTGTCGACAATCAACCCTGTATGGATCATGATCGTGCTTCTGGTGAGGCTGTTGGTCCTCAAGATTACACTGGTATCAAGATGAAGGTCCTTGAATGGTCCAAACCCGCTCAAGAGGCTCTTGCTGCCAATGCTGAGGCTCTCAAGGGTAAGAATGTATACTTGGTTGCCGCTACTCTCAGACCTGAGACCATGTACGGTCAAACCAACTGTTTCGTCGGCCCTGAACTCCAATACGGTATTTACAACATCAACGACACTGATGCTTACCTCTGTACCGAACGTGCTGCCCGCAACATGTCTCAACAAAAGATCTTTGCAAATGGCCGCACTACCATCGAGAAGCTTGCTGATATTAAGGGTGCTGCTGTTGTCGGTACCAAGATCCACGCTCCCCTGAGCAAGTATCCTGCTGTCTACGTTCTTCCCATGGAGACTGTTTTGGCCACCAAGGGTACTGGTGTTGTTACTTCTGTCCCCTCTGATTCTCCTGATGATTTCGCCACCTTGACTGATCTCAAGAAGAAGCCCGAATACTACCACATTGATCCTGAGTGGGTCAACTTTGTCGAACCTATTCCCGTCATCACCACTCCCAACTACGGCAACCTCATTGCTCCCAAGCTTTGCGAAATCAAAAAGATCAACTCTCAAAAGGATAAGAACCAACTCGCTGAAGCCAAGGAGATCGCCTACAAGGAAGGCTTCTATAACGGTGTTATGTGTGTTGGTGAGTATAACGGCCTCAAGGTGCAAGAAGCCAAGCCAAAGGTTAGAGCCACTTTGATCGAGTCTGGTGAGGCCTTTGTCTACAATGAACCCGAGAGTCTTGTCATGTCTCGTTCCGGCGATGAGTGTGTTGTTGCTCTTATGGATCAATGGTACATTGACTACGGAGAGGAGGAGTGGCTGGCAAAGACCAAGAAGTGTTTGGCTCAAATGAACACCTTCACTGCCGAGACCAGACATCAATTCGAAGCTGTTTTAGACTGGTTGAACAAGTGGGCTTGTGCCCGTAGCTTTGGCTTGGGTACCAAGCTGCCTTGGGATGAGCAATTCTTGGTCGAGTCTCTCTCTGATTCCACCATCTACATGGCTTACTACACTGTTGCCAATCTCTTGCACGGTGGCTCTTTGAACGGCAGCAAGGTCGGCCCCGCTGGCATCAAGGCTGAGCAATTGATCGACGCTGATTGGGATTACATCTTCAAGATTGGTGAGTACTCTTCCGAGAGCACTATTCCCCAAGCTACTCTTGATCGTTTGAGACGTGAGTATGAGTACTTTTACCCATTGGATCTTCGTGCTTCCGGTAAGGATCTTATTCCCAACCATTTGACCTTCTTCATGTACAACCACACTGCCATCTTCCCTGAGAGCATGTGGCCTCGCGGTGTCCGTTCCAACGGCCATTTGATGCTTGACTCCAAGAAGATGTCCAAGTCTACTGGTAACTTTATGACCATGAACGACGCCATTATCAAGTACGGTGCTGATGCTACTCGTTTTGCTCTTGCTGATGCTGGTGATACCGTTGAGGATGCTAACTTTGAGGATTCCACTGCCAATGCTGCCATCTTGCGTCTCCACACTCTCTTAGACTGGATTGAAGAGCAAATTGCCAAGGCTGATACTCTTCGCACCGGTGAATACAATTTCTTTGACAAGATCTTTGACAACGAAATGAACAAGTTGCTTGAGCTCACTGAAGCTGCTTATGAAGCTACTTACTACCGTGAAGTTCTTAAGAACGGTGCTTACGAATTCCAAGCTGCCAAGGATACTTATCAACTTGCCTGTACCGAGACTGGCATGCATAAGGATCTCGTCTTGCGTTATATTGAACTTCAAGCTTTGTTCTTGGCTCCTATTACTCCTCACTGGTCTGAACACGTTTGGGGTACTGTCCTTAAGAAGCAAGGTTTGATCGTCAATGCTCGTTTCCCCAAGGTGAGCGCTCCTGTCGATGAATCTCTTGAGGCTGCTACTCGTTACATTCGTAAGACCATCAAGTCCATTCGTGATGCTGAGATCAATGCCATGAAGAAGAAGAAAGGAAAGGCTGCTGTCGAATACAACGCCAAAGACCCCAAGTCTCTCAAGATCTACGTTGCTACCAAGTTCCCTGAATGGCAAGAAGCCTGTTTGGCTGCTATGAAGGCCAACTACGTTGACAATCAATTCGACGATGTCAAGATCCGTCAAGAACTCGGTGCTCAAGGTATTCTCAAGAATAAGAAGGCCATGCCTTTCGTCCAAGAGCAAAAGAAGATCATTTTGAAGGACGGCCCTGTTGGCTTCAACCGTACTTTGAGCTTCAATGAGGTTGAGACTCTCGAAAAGGCCAAGGACGAATTCAAACGTGCTCTTGGTTTTGACACCATTCAAATTCTTGGACACGATCAATGGACTGAAGAGGACACGAAGGCTGCTGAATCTGCTGTTCCTGGTATTCCTTCTTTCAGTTTCAAGAATGAATCCAAATAGACATATTCGTTTTTCTCTCTCCTTTTATATATACTTTTTTTTTTCTCTGTTTAATTACTCTTTTCTGTACAATTCAAATCATTCATTCACTTCGTAGAAGTAAATTAAATTACCAATAGAAAAAAATAAAATTCTTTGTTCAAATGCCATCATGCTTTGTTGTATTTCTGGTTTATTGTCAAATAAATATGATGTTTGCTTTTCGTCTTGCTGAATATTATTATACATTGTTGTGCTTTTGCTGGCTACATTTATCGTTGATGAGTAGCAATAAATTTCTTTTGTTCCTCAGCAACAGCGTATTTGAATTGCTCAACTTCCTCCCAGCAATCAAGGGGTCTATCTTGATTTTTCCTATAGTCAAATGTGTTAATGAATACAGCCCATACACACATAGATGACAGACACTTACTTGTAGCAGACAATGAGTGCTTCTTGACGCTCAGCAATAGCGGCAGGGATCTCAGATGGAGTGGATCTAATTCGGCATTTTTAGCGATGCAATATACATAATTGTTGTTGCCATAGTAACCTTTGTAACTTTTGAATCATGTTATCGATGTCCTCTGCCATGGCAACAGAGTTATGGTCATTGTCAATGTTTTGTTTCGCTAATTCACCGTAAGCTTGCTTGTTGACATTTTCTTGTCGAGACTTAGCAAGCTTCAATTCCTCTGCAACACGCTCATTGACAAGTTGCTCAACCTTTTCATTGATTTCGACACTGACAGCAGGTTCCTTTGCAAGAGAAAATTGAGTGTCAATGCGTCACTGTACGAGCAATGATGATGTACCTTTTTGTTTTCAGTGGCATGTTGCTCAATGCCTTGCGAGAACTGGATAGAAACAAAGTCAATCAACGAGTCCATTTGGCACAACTTTCAAGCAAATCTCACCTGAAGAGGGCTGCTTTGGTTATAGAAAATAACGGGTTCAGATGATTTAGATTGTGTTGCACCCATATTTGATCGACTATTTAGTATAAAAGTAAAAAGGAACTCGTTTAAATCATATCGGCAGGGCTTGGTTTGGTTGTCTCTCATTTTATACGTCACTCATTAGGTTATCTCCGCATTTCAAATGATGAGATTACCCCATATTCTCATGCCAAATGTCCAGCTAAAAGCCAAATGTTGGATCAGGATCTCTAATTAAAGTGAATAATGGGCTTTTTTTATTCAGGCTTGTTACGGATGATCTTGAAAGCTCTTATTGGCTATTTACTGGTCCCATACTTTTGGTACTTGAGTGCAGTATTAGGTATATTGAATCGTATAAGACAGAATGTTATACATCATTTACACTAGTCTCTTTTTCTGACGACGCACAAGCTTGAGGTCTAGCTTTTCATTGTTTATATGTATATATAGAGACGTTGTCTTGCAAATATTAGGCAGTTATTTATTAAAGTCGCTCGTTTAGCATATCTTTAATACATACGAGTGTTTATGTTTCAAATGGCTCTCTACCTTCGCTTCGCTTCGGTGAAAACCACGCTGCACAGCGACAGCTCGAGCTACCGGTTACCCTTGTGTATCTTATCATAATACTACTACGTTCAAGCTGACCCTCTATTTACACATGAAAACTCTTTATAATATCTGTGGATCTGACTCTTATCTGATGCTCTACATCCATATACACGTAGCTACTTCATATACGGGCAAGTAACATACTGGTATTTCCACTTTTTAGTCCTTAGTGTCCATAATACAGCAAAATTTGAATGCATTTGAGCTGCGTTTTCTCGCGTCCAAGGCCGTTTTAGATTGTCAAAATAGGACCAAACAATTGCTCTCATCTGGCAGTTACTTTCTGACACCTTTGCTCTACTTTTTGGGGACCAAAAAAACATGGTCAAAAATCGACCAAAAAGCATGAGGTACCCCCTCATGGTTTTCATCGAAAATCAAACAATCGCGTTTTTCACCTTGATAACGAAGACTTTTACTATGGTATACTTTGAATCAAAATGGTTCTATCGATCCAAAGCAACCTCTGAAATTATCTTTTTGGGACTTTGATATGTAAAATTTCGACATTTTGGCCAGAAACCTCTTTTCATATTTTCATAAATCATTCGATAAGTTTATTCAAATCATCTATATTACTTAGTACCACTGGATGCGACTTGAAAAATACTCCAAGAAAGCTTAAGAAAATACAGGATGATCATTATATTCTACTTAGTTGAATCTGCAAAAATAGCTCGATCGAGTCCAGAATCATCAAAATTTGTCCAATCTGGAACAGACTATGATTCTGGGTTTGAATAAATTATGGCTGGTGTGGCTGGCAAACTCAATGCAATAATAAATGTTTTTGAAGCCAAAAGAAAGTAAGTGGCAAACTACATGGTACTATCATCAGCCATGCTAATTCTTTGAAGTCTTGAATCTAATACGCCAGTCCATCAAAATACTAAAAGATCAACTTCTTTCTCGTTTGCAGTAAAAAAGAAGTTGAAAAAATAGCGAGATGGAATACTGTTAAAATCCTTCTTTATTCGAAATTAGGATAATGTGCAATAGAATGTATATTCTACGTCTCTATTTATATTGTTTGGTTTATACTTCTTGTCTGACAGCAGTTTAGTAGCTGCCAGTGATTCCATTATTTTGCATATTATTGTTGGTGGGTTATTTAGTTGTTGATCTAATGGATCAAGATATTAGAACAGTATTTCAATATATGGTTTGTAAATCATGCATAACGAATAGCTCGCTATTGTTAGGAATATATCTTTTTTTTTTAGGTATATTTATGTTACAACACATTACAATACCCTTGACATTTACTTTAGTATCTGTCATCTCTTATTTTTAGAGGATATTTACCTTCCTATTATCATGCTAATACTATTATTATGTATGCTTGTCTGTTGATGGTAGCATGGCTTGATTGAGATGACATTTTTTTTGGGGCTTTGTTTATGATGGGAATCTAGTCTAGTTCACTTCCGGGCTTATTACGTAGAAACCAAATTTTATCCAATGCAGAACATCAGGGGCATTAGACAGAACCGTAATAATATACTTGCTCTTTTGGCAATGCAACCTACTACGCCTTATTTTTTAGGCCAAATTTTGTCCAAACTTGGGCATTTTGAAGCACGAATAACTCATGCTACAGAGCGTTGTGGACGCTTGGAATAGGGCCAAACGTCTCTTCCTGGCCACGCTTTACTTACTAATGCTTTATCTCAATTTTTTCTGGGTCATTGCAAATCCATGAAAATCCTCATATTTTTCGTGTGTACTAGTAAGGGAAAATTCTTAAAAATCAAACGATCGCGTTTTTCACCTCGAAAAGAAAGACTTTTCTTAAGATACATATCAGATCAAATTGATCGTAAAGATGGAATGCAACGCTGGAAACTCTTTCTATGAGACTTATATATATTAAATTTTGACATATCCGTAGAAACCCAGTTTTTATATTTTTGGAAATTGCTCATTATTTTTGGTCTGAAAGCTGAATGGAACTAGTACCATCCGATGCGCCTTCATTGATTCTTTATAAATGCATTAGAAAGTAAAGTATAACAATGACAATTTTCATAGTCAAATTTGAGTGCCGCAGCGACAGCTACTGTGGCAGATGACTGAGGCCGAATCTACTGGCCGTGACGTCGGATACAGCGTTCTCCCATTATTTCATGCCTCCGTTTTTTACTCTTTTTGCAAAGCGCGTTTAGTATCAAACCATATTGTTTTTGGAACCCTTTTGATTGAAAATAGCACTTTAGCTTTTGATGACACGGTCTTGCACTGTTACAAGTACTTGATACTGCTTCTTCAAAGTGGAATATAGTAGTAGGTACCATTCGATAATAAATAGCACTGGAAGACGTGGAATCAGCACTAATTCAATTTGTTTATTAGGTTTCGACAAGTTTTTTGCCTGTTTGGCGTGGGTGCTGCTGCCATTACTTCTCTACTACTATCTCTGCTGGTGGTGTTCGTTCTTCGGTTTTTCTATGGTGCTGGTGTTGCTGCTGCTAATATGGTCTATCCTGATGTACTGTCTTTGGTGTACGATTGTCCTCTGGTTTAACTCTGGCGATTGCTTCTTTGGTCTTTCTCTGGTCTCTAGTGTCGTTTGTTCTTGGGTTCTTCTATGGAGCTGCTGGTGGTGTTCCTGCCGCTAATTTGGTCTGTCCTGGTCTACTGTATTTGATGCATGCTCGTTCTGTGGTCTGTCTCCGAGGATTGCCTATACTATTCCGGTGTATTTATGGCTGTGGTAAGTGGTAAGTATCTTATTTCTTCTGGTCGCAATGATATAAAACTTCTTTGAACGTTTATATTATTGCTTTCTTTCTCGTGATAATGCATTCATGATGTTTGCCTTGTTGCGCTTTTTTTCTTTTTCTTTTCTTTTGTTGGTAGTGTTTCCTCTGTAGCTTTACATGAAACAACATTAGTCATTATGTTGTATGGCAAACTTATAATACCACTGTTGCTTTGCAGTTGTGCGTATTTGTGTCATGTTGCTTTACTTCCGACTATTACTACCATGCGCGTTGCTCATGTATGCATTTTTCTTGCAACAGCAACGAGCTTTTTTTGAACATCTTTGATGTTGTGTTTGTTACGCTTCTCTTTGACTCGCTTCTTGTGAGTGTCTCTTTTTTGCTTACATACTACTATACTCCTATAGTATTGTAACATGTTCTTTTCTTCATTCTTTTATTATTATTATGTTTCTTTGAAGCATACCTTTTTTTTTACGTTGTGTGGATGTGCCTATCCCTGAAGCTCAACAAGACTTTATCCGAGGCTAGGAGGTAGATAGGCTGCCTCCACTTGGTTATCGCTACTTACTTTAGTGATGATTGAGAGTCTCAACGCCAGAATCTAAAAGCTAGGTGGTGTAAGTAAGGCATGCTCTAGCACCTGAGGGAAATTTGATGATAGCAACCGCTATATTGCTGTATATATCGGAGCTTAAAATTTTGCCTCACATCAAAACAGGGGGAAACTCTCGCAATTTTTTTTTAGGTCAGCGGAGTTTTCAAGCGATTTGATTGGCTGAGGGGTTCAAACGACGAAGGGTTTCAACTAGTAGATTTCATATTGATCTGACATTTATTATAATATAATGTTTGTAATAAAAGAGCTATAACTAAATAAATACTATTTAAATCCTTCTGTATTAAAAATAAGACAAGGTACTAGCACTTGATCTAGCATCCATTAAACTGTTCCATGTAAAAGGCATTCTTTAATTTCATTATGTAGTAAAAGTTATATAACAGGCGCAGCAATGCACTAGGTACCATCTTCTTCCTGTACCAAATGTCCCTGCGTCGTTTATCATTGATTTTCAACGTGTTTCAATTGCGTTGGTTGCTGGTTTTTGCCTCATATGGAATTCTGAATGTATAAAGATGGTTCCAATTTCTGATGCTAGAGCTCTGAAAGTAGTATGATGCTATAGCGAAATACTGCGAGAAATACGACAGTGTAGTTGGATTGCAGGTTGGATGGGCTGTTGCTGATGACTGATGAGAAATCGATGGTTTTCTAAATAAGCCAATGTTAAACCATGACCTTCATACATAAGCAAAATACTACAGCTGCATTCATCATTAAAACGTTCGCATATGGAATGGTCATGACGGAACGGAGGCTGCTTTGTACTCCTGAGATGCTCATGAAACATTCATTACTAAATTGAGTCATTGGTCATCTTTAAGTTACAAATCTTCTACACTGTAATGAATTAGCCACCATAAAACAACCTCATTAAAAGCCGGAATTTATCAAATACAATTCATTCAAATTCATGCTATTTGAGTCTGTTAATAAAGTGCTCAAATGTACATCAACAACTACTTAATCGTACTAAAGCAAAGATGCACGCTTATCTCACACATCGTGTGAATAAATCACTCTTGGTCGCAGTGTATCCAATCATACTCATAATGGTGGTAATAAGTGATGTTATCTTTGTCCAAATAGAATAAAATTAATAACAAGCATATTCAAATATAACAACTATGTCCTGATGCCATAGTTGCGCAATACCCCAGATAAAGAATTCTACATTTCAATAATAAACATCACACTTTAAACTGACAAGATTACATTAAATCATGCTATTACGATGGCTCATCCAAGCTCATCAAGGTTACTCAAATAGGCCCTTATAGCCAGTGCTCTTGCATTGGCTACCACTTTAAATCAAACATCAACAACATTTCCCAGATATCACAAGAACAACACCTATCGATCTCTATCATCGCTAATCCTACAAGAAGATAGTTGTAAATGTATGAATACTCTTCTTTTTTTTTTTACTCAATCCCAGGATCTTCAGCTCATTTTACATACAAATAAAATACAGTGAACTTGTATTGTATTTTACCATTGCTTTATTTTTTTGTGAAATTCATTAAATCTGATTTCACTGCAAGCAATATTACGAGTAATGGGTGGATCGATGATAATAGATGGATAGATGAGTTGTTGCAAAACAATGGACTGAACACCGTTTGATGATTGCAGGGAAATCAGGTTTAAGAGAGTTCGCAAAAAAAAAAAAAAAAAACAAAGCAATAATAAAATACAATATAAATCAACTGGATTTTGTTTGTGTATAAAATGAACTGAAAATTCCGGAATTAAGTGAAAAAAGAAAAATATATACGTTTATAACAAGCTTGTGGGGTTATTAATGATAGGGAGCATCAGATGCTGCTACTGCAATATCTGGCAAATGTGGTTGATGTTTAATATAAAGTAATAATCAATGCAAGAGCACTAGCCATAAGGGTTAATTTGAGTAATCTTGACAGGCTAGGATGAGCTATTGCCATAGCATGACTTAATGTAATCTTGTCAGTTTAAGGTGTGATGTTTGTTATTAAGGTGTGGACCCTTTATTTGGAGTACTGCAACTATGATATCAGGGCATAGTTGTCTTTTTTTCGACTTCTTTTATCTCTTTTGTAGGACCCAAACAATGAAATAATCAATAAAAAGTATTTCCCTAAAGAAATTCATTAATCTCTTCTTTTACAAAATTCGACTCTTGGAGTACTTTTTAAGGCGCTTCCAGTGATGCCAAGAGAAACAAACGTTTTGACTGAACTCATCGAGTAATATTAGAAAATATAAAATGAAATTTTTGGCTAAGATGTCGAAATTTTGCATATGAAGGCCTCATAAAATTGGTTTCAGGGTTTGCTTTGGACAACTGCAATCATTTTGACCTAACATCACAACATAATAAATTGATAGTCCGTAAACAGTTTTACAGCCCTAATATATAGACTTAGTTGCCATGCATTTGTCAGGCATGGCTTATGTATGACTACAGATTTTATATAAAATCATTATCAATATACAAACAGATTTCTTCTAACATTTTAGCTCTTATTATTAATTTACCAGTATTAACCAAATTTTTGTGGCAGCACGAGCCACCTAAACGTAGTTCAGCTTCCACCAAAGCAAAGTGTAGGTCAGGAAATCGCCTAAAGGGTCAAAAAGCTCATCGTAACATAGTAATCTATGGTCCCTAAACACTCTCAAAGCCTCAAAAAGAAAGAAGTTGATCTGACAAGTATTTCGATAGACTGGCGTTATTAGGTATAGAATGCAAGAAAAATAGCATGGCTAACAATAGTGCTATGTAATTTGCCATCTATTTTCCATACGCTTCAAAAGCATCTATTACTGTATTGCCTTGATGATGAAAAGGGCATTGAGTTTGCCAGCCGGCTCCACCAGCCGTCAAAATTAATTTCAACTCAAATTCTTAGTCTGCTCCAGATTGGCCAAATTTGATGGCTTTTCGACTTGATTAAAATGTTTTGTAAGATTCGACTGTATAAAATATGATGATTATTCGATGCTTCCTAATACATTCTTGGAGTGCTTTTCAAGGCGCATCTAATGGTACCAAGTAATATAAATGTTTTGCATAAATCTATTGAACAAATTATGAAAATACAAAAAGAGGTTTCTGGCCAAAAAGTTGAGATTTTACATATCAAGGTGTCACAAAGGTGATTTCAGAGGTTACGTTAGATTGATAGAAACATTTTGATTCAAGATATACCATAGTAAAAGTCTTCACTACCAAGGTAAAAAATTCGACCGTTTGATTTTCAATGAAAAGCATGAGGGGTACCTCATGCATTCTGGTCGATTTTTGTCCATGTTTTTTTTGATCCCCAAATAGTTGAGCAAAGGTGTCAGAAAGCTAATGTTACCCAGGTACAATAGTTTGGCGTCATTCCGGTGGCTCAGAAAGACCTACATGTTGAGATATTAAAGCCTGAAAGCTGTCAAATTTGGCTGTGTTTTATCCATTTGATTGTCAATAGGTGTGCTCTTGTTCCAATACAAAGGTGTAACGACATTGCATGTACTAAATCTAGATTCAGAGTATGCTTTCACACTTAAATATTCAGCTGAAAATATTAGGTTGAGTGGCATTGCTATACCGCTGTATTATAGCGCAAGGACACAGTTCATTGGTGAGGCAAAGAAGACTGCAAGACAAGTTGGACATTTTAGACGCAATAGATAGTCTGCATCTAGTTAACACTCTACTATAAAATTAGCTCAAATATAGGCCGGCCATAACTCGGTAGCTCAAATTATTATGCAGTTCGTATCATATTCGTTTTTATTCAGCAGTGTCGAACGATTTTCCTAGTGTAGACACAACGTCTTGAAGTGCTTGATGCCAAGAAGGCACGCTTTTCAGCAACTTCAAGCGATTCTCACAAATGGACATCAGTCGCTTAAAGCACTTTTCCCTCAGCTCATTATCATTAATAGATTCGACGGTAGTTTTAGCCTTGATTCCTGGTATCTGTGCTCGATTGCTAGTAGCTGGGTGCCAACGCAAATAATACCATACCACTTGAAATAAGATGTCGCCCAAATCCTTGGCTGACATGAATGGAAACACTTGATAAGCATCGACCAAGAACTGAGGTAAAACCTAATACAATGCTCAGTGTCAGGACGAAGGCTCCATTATTTTGTGCTCTTTCACTTACGGGTTTTAGCAGCAAAATGAGTCTTGTCGTTTCTTCCAATTGCGTCGCAAATCGGAGAGCAGTTGGAATATTGACCACTTCCTTCATATGCCAAAAGACAATAAAATAGACGAGGATACTGCGAACAATATCGTTTGCTGCTGATGAGGAATAGTGTTGGTTTTGGCCAGATGTATACTTTTCAAATATAAGGAATAAAACAGGATGGTCCTTGAACGCATTTCCAATGTTGATATCACATTGATATGGAATATTTTTCGGTAGTACATCATCATAAGAGTCTAGTGGAACAGTGTTCGGCAACCATATGGAAGTGAGTCGAGAAAGGGCATGGGAACTCACATCTTGGAATTGCTCTAGGTTGCTCAGTGAGTTACTATCAAAGGCGAGCACTGTTATCCATGAGAATCAAACTTACCTGTAGAGATATTTGGCAGCTCGCTAAACTGGAAAAACAAGGCAGCTGTTCTCTGAATGTTCTCAATGTAAATGCTATCTCTCACGTCAAATTCCTCCTCTGTCAGAAACTCGATGGTTGTGACAAACTGAGGTGGTTTTCGAAACTGATGTGCCTCTTGAGGCATAAACTTTTCTTTTTCTTCTTGACGTACTTTATCAAACAAGCTCAACTTCTCCTGTTGCAGTGCATTGACGTCGACCGAAGGGAAAATTTCCAACGCACCTCCCAAGATGCCATCTATGGCAAATGTCAGCATTGTCTTTGCTATATCTGGCTGTTGGCAGCAATGCGCAATAAGACGCTGTTGTTCGTCCACCACGGAGATCTCTTCTGCTTGCCCAAAGCGAAGGTAACGGCCCTTGATGTGTCGAAACCACGCGTCCATAAGTAGCTTGGCTATAGTCTGAGGATCACAGCCTTCAACATGAGCACTGTTCTCCCAAAAATGAGAGTTTGTCAAGACACGGTAGCCCATTGCACGGCATTCCATGGAGGGGTGATTCAAGAACAAGAGTAGCACTTGACGCCAATGACTTGTTAGATAAGCTTGAAAGGCATGAAAGCCGGGTTGTTGTTGTGGTGACGAATTATCGGGTGGTTCAAACAGCATGGCCAAATTAGCCAGTATCTTTTCAATATTCACGGAACCCTCGCTGTCAGCAATGTGCATTGCAATGGCCTTTGAAAATATGTTTTCCAGCACAAGTCTGGTGCGCAAGTTAGATGATGCCATCCTGCCGACAAAGCAACTTACTGAAAGATACCAGGCCATTTTGATTCAGCGGACGACACAAGATTCAATGCCAAATAACGAGCTCCTAACGAAGAGTTCGGGTCTGTGGGCCTATCTAATCGAGTGATCAGCTGCACAAACATATCGACTGCCATCTCCTTTGACTCTCCATCTTTCAGAATGACTAATTGCAATAGAAACAGTGGAATTTTAAGATCATCTACCCCTCGTTGCTGTTTGGATGAAGAGGAGGAGACGATGGATATTGTCCATTGTACCAGATCAATAGAGGTAGGCATCAAATCAAGTTGCTCAAAGGATGGTTTCAATGTATCTATAATAGACTTGTCGCCCGTCTAGAGACAATATGGTTAAAATTTACATCATCGAGTTTCAAGGGGGGGGTTATAAGGAGAGATACTTTACAGGAATGAGATATGTCAAATTTAATCGTGTATCATGCGCTAATGTGTCCAACATGATTGCGACATCCATGGCGTGTTTCATGATGGGTCCCTTTGAATCAAATGCAATGGTAGTCAACCAACGAGGAAAGACGCTGGCCAAATCCTGTACTCCTTCTGACGTCTTTACCAGTGAGCTCTTTGTCGTCTTTTCATACAAAAACACAGTGCCAGCATTGTCATTCTCTAAGAGACGCTTGAAGACGATAGACCAAGATTCTAATGCCAATTCAGTGTTTCCATTAGGCGTAAAAAAAAAGGGGGGGAGGCGCCAAATCGACTTACCTTGGAATAATGCGGGCGAAATTTTAGGTAATGACAACAGATAGCCCAACGTAAATCGTTGCAAATCTGATGTAATAAGGAGATGGATGTAAATAAGGAGACATGTCAAGCGTGTTTATGGCTTTTTTTTTACCAGAAGATAATGGTGCATTATCTCTAATCCAGAGCAGATACTGATCCAGCAGATCAGCAACAGATTGAACGACAAGCTGCATCTGTTGCCCTTGAAGCAAATGCTGGAATAGATGGTCGCTGATATGTACAATGTCATTATCGCTGTAGTGTGAAAAAGAAGATTAGGGAGGCGTGGGGTATTTACGTATTTAAGCATATTAAATTTTCGTACCTGTTACTGATACCCAAGTATGGATTACCATTCAAGGCAAATCCAAGGATCAGATACTCATGAATACGACGGGTTACTAGCTGAGGCAATCTTTCACCAATTAAACATAGAAGCCAACCCATCTCCAATGTCTCCTTCTTTACGAGCTTATTCAGGGTTAGGGTCAATGTCCGTTTGATCCGAAAGTTTGTCCCTATGTAGAAAAAAAAAAAAACTTACTTGAAATAAAGTGTCAAGAGAACTGTAAATGTAACCATCGTGTGGGGTTGCAGTTTTTTTTTTTTTTTAATAAATACAAATTGGTTCATCCCATTAAACTTGTTTTTTTTTCTTAATCCTGTTACCTTGTGCTGTTTGTGGCTTCCTGGAATGAGATGCAGTTTGTCATTAGATCAACGAGTGCCTGGTTCACTGGATCTGACATGTCTAATGATGGCTGTTGAGAATATATTCTATCAGTTCCTCCTCCTCCCTTTTGGTGGGTACCTGTGGGCGTTTGTGATCTTCTTAATTTCAGCGTCGTATAGATCCACTATCAATTTATGCATGAGAGACGACGAGCAACAGGAGCTCATCCAACCCAACATCTTACGGTGGTAATCCTATCGCTATCATTTGCCATGAATCGCTTTAATTTTCGTATCGCTAAAACGAGTGATTTCTGGTCATTTGTGAGTGTTTTTGATGGCTTGCAGGATATAGCAGCATTGGATAGGCTTTCAAGGTCTGCATTCGAGCATAATTGCAACATGATGAATGAGAGAGAAAGCGAAAGCGCGTCACCTAAACATCAAGACAAAGTTTTAATGCGTTTTGGCACCATAATATAGCAAATGAAGGCAAGCATAGTCCCCGGATTCATTGGTTTACATGACAAAGAAAAAATTATTAAAAAAAACTTTTTTTTTTTTTTTTTTTCTCTTTCTCTCTTTTCCTTTACTCACAAGTTATAAAATATGCCAGGATCAAGAGACGACGGCCAAGGATATCAGCAGTGTAAATTCACGATTTAAATATGAGATGTTATACGAAAAGAAGAGCTCTTTCTTTGTATAATATCAATTTGTTACATGTTACAAGAGTAATATATGCCTGACACTATTTATCATATAAAGATAACAGCGGATACGGCAACAATGATTACGACTCATATGGTGGAAGAAGCAGCGGCGGCGGCGGTGGTGGTGGATACAGAGATCGTGGTTATGGAAGACAAAACGACCGCTACAGCAACCAAGACAGATACGATAGCAAGCCTGCCGTCAATGAGAGTGGTAAACATGGCAGATTGGTGCTTTTATACGGTGCTAATGCTCCGTTGCAGGTATTCACAGAATTGAAGACACTGTCTACATCAGCAATTTACCTCAAGAAGTAACCGAAGAGAAGCTTGCTGAACATTTTGGCTCCATTGGCATCATCAAAACTGACAAGAAATTAAGAAAACCTAAAAGTAAGGTGTACTAGTGACATTTCGAAATGAACGTAATCGTGAATTAATCTTGCCTTGTTCAGTTTGGATCTATGTTGATAAGACCACCAATCTTCCCAAGGGCGATGGTAAGCATGCGTTTTTTTTTTTTTTTTTTTTGGTTATCTAAAATGAACTGCATATTCATTCTATGCACTTTAGCCACTTTAACTTATGACGATCCCCCTTCTGCTGACGCCGCTATTGAATGGTTCGGTGGTAAAGAATTTATGGGAAATGTGATCCAAGTGACCAAAGCTGAAAGAAAGATGAGCATTCCTCGTAAGTGAAGAGACCAAGAAGCAAACAGCGGCTATGCAACTCATACCAATTTTTAATTAGCTGACAGAGGCTCTGGTGGTGGTTATGATCGTCGTGGTGGCGGCGGCGGCGGTGGAGGCAGAGGTGGTTTCCGCGATCAACATGGCGGTGGTGGAGGAAGAGGAGGAGGAGGCATGGGCAACAGAGAACCCAGAGAAGGCGACTGGACTTGCGATGGGTAAGAGAGATACAAGCAAAAGTAAACAAAGCGTGTTGTATTGATCCGTTCGTATAGCTGTGGCGCCAACAATTTTTCCAGAAGAGACGAGTGCTTCAAATGCCATGCGTCAAGACCTGGTGGATCTGGTAACAGCGGTAGCCGAAGCAGCAGTAGCAGAGGCGATAGAAGCAGCGGATTTCGTGGTGGTAGTGATCGTTCAGACAGCAGACGAGACCGCCATGATGACCGCTCAGACAGCAGACGTGATTACAACAGTGGACGAGGCGGTCGTGATGACTACCGTAAAGACAACAGACACGAGAGACGTGATCGTCCTTACTAGTAGACCTATTACCACCCCGTCAGCAGAAATAAAATATCATTTACATGCATTTCTCTACTTGTTCCCAATTGATTGTATCCCTTAGCCCGCATCATCATCAGTACTTGCGTGCGACCATGATATTCTGCGCAGATGAATGGCTGCTATATTTGGAATTGGCACTAGAAAAGTGTGTAGCTCCTCGTTTGCCACACTTCGCACGGTAACCACGAGATGCTGGAAGAGATGGAGTTGTAATTTAACACAAGCGAAGATGCCTCAATTGGGTTTCCAGAGAATAGATGATTAGCAAGCAAGTATTTAAAACGACATGGTATGGAAAGATGATGGCTAGCAGCTATTCCACTTTGATTGTCTATGGATTTAAGGAGTAAAGATGTAAATTGGAGGCTTCCTAAAAGGGCTATTTTTTGAGTGCACATTTATACAACAGCTGCTGCTACTGATTGCTGCTGCTTTTATTGTTCATCATCATGATAGCCCCAATGTTAGGCTGTGTTCCCTTTGAATCCACTTGAATCATCCCTTCTTTTTTTTTTATCTTTCCTCCCAGCCCTTTCTCTTTCTTTCTTCTTTCTTTCTCTCCATTTCCCTTTCTTCGAACCCCTTGTTTGGCGTGTGTTGTTGTTGTTGTTTTAACACTCAATCCTTCTTTTTGTTTCCCCCCCCCCCCCTTGATTTTACACTTTGATTGAACACCACCCCCCCTTTTTTTTTTTTTTTTTTTTTTTTTTCCTCTGTTGAAAATATAAAATCTATAAATCTTGAATTTACAATATCTCTCTTTGTTTCCCCTTTTTTCTCATTTTATATAAACTGTTGCAAACCACACTTGCAGCATCCAATTTCCAACTTCCTTCTTCTTATTCTTCTTATCCTTGCCAAACTATAATGACCTCTCTCTTACCTATTCAATATGTTACACCTCATTCTATTACTTCCACTTCCGCCTCATCAGTTGTTGAATTAAACAGCACATCAAACACCGAAAAACAACAACAACAACACTCTCATTTCCAGCAGCACAGATGGCATTACAGCAACAGCGCATTGACAACAACATCGTTGGAAGGAACATTGCCTTCGGTCACTGCTGTAAAGTCGAGATCGACTACTAACACAGCAGCTACGACGACGACGACGACGACGACGACCAGCAACAACCGACTGGCATATGTAGATGCCCTTGTAGGTACGTATTGCTGTCTGAATTAACACAATTTAAAATCTAAACACATGTGGATTAGATGTAAATGCGCTTGTTATCGAATTGATCTGGCAGCTGAATCCTACTGCTACGGCTCCTGCTCCCAGCAACAACAAACATGCCAGCAAGAACAATGTGGTCGTGCCTCTCAGGACTTTTATTCAAGAGGTACTCAAACGATCAAGAACAACGTACTCAACACTGCAAACGGCATTATTTTATTTATTTCGTTCAAGACCTGAAATTAATAATTATTTAACAAGAATGCAGCAACATCAACAAAATAATAACAACAATTGGGAATATGCTTATATTAACTGTGGAAGACGCATGTTCCTGGCGAGTTTGGTGGTTGCCTCCAAGTTTGTACAGGACAAGACCTATCGAAACTCTGCTTGGGCAAAGATTGCTGGATTACCCGTGTCTGAGGTCAATGCGGCAGAGCGCATTTTTCTCAACTTGATTGATTATCGCTTGTACATCTCTCAGCCAAAGTTTGAGCAATGGCATCATTTACTACACATGTATGTGGAAGCAAAGACGCTAAATCAACCGACAAATTTGCATGATTTGTCCACTCTGCCATTCGCTGCAACAAACATTGACTATTATGATCATCACCATGACAAGCAGGCCCTGCCATCTCCTCGCACAACTCCTCGTTCACAACAAAATTTCGGCTGGACACTTGTACTTTCACCTACTTCATTCCTACCACCACCAGCTCCTTCTCAACATCAGCACCATCAGCACCATCCTACCGCTGCTCCTCTTGCTCCTCCTCCTCCTGCTCCTGCTCCTGCTCCTGCTCCTGCTCCTGCTCCTCCTATCAACAGCCATTGCGAATGTCAATCCACTGCAACGACTACTACCACAAGATTATCAAAAAAGAGAAAGACAAGCTCAGCATCGTCTGCTTCTTCGTGCTCATATCCACCTGTATTATCAATGTCACTTCCTAGCTCCATCAATTCATCTCCCATGCAGACACCTACACAGATTTCACCCGTACGGATGAACAACGGTACTTCAGTATTCAACTGGAGCTCACCCACTAGTTTCGATCATAATATTCTTCATCAACGTTCGTTTGTGAATACGAATACTAATATCAGCAACAAGAAGAGAAAGTTCGCCAGTGTGGAACCTCACTCTCACTCATATAACCTTAGTAACGTTAGACAACAAGCGAGTAGATTTCATTCATAAATCCATCATGCCACCTGTATCCTTTTGCAACCACACTCCTTGAACCATTTCCCTTCATTTTTCTTTTGCAACACCACCACCAACAACAACAACAACAACAACAACAATAGCTATTACTACAACAACTTATGTATAACCAAAAAAAAAACCCGAAAAAACCCCATACTAATTCAATCATTACTACCATTATATTTATCTTACATATTTATCCCCCCCCCCTCCAGCCTACATATCATATTTATTCTTCTAGTACATACATAACTTATGCACATCTTTTTCTTTAAATACACAACATACTTATCATCTCAATATGCCTTCTTTCTTTTCCACTACTACTTCAAATAGAGACAAATTATCCAATAAGAGCTGATTCCGTGATAAACATTGCTCGCAAACCATCATCATCAGAATATAAAAAAAAAAATATTTTCTGTAATTCTTTTTCTACTCTTTCCTCTTATTCTCGTTTTTCTTACACTTCCTAATCTTGCCGTTCTTTGCTTTTTATATGCTATAATCGATTGTTGATATCCAGACAAGTCTACATACAAAACATGGCAAAAATCGACTCAAAGCACATGCGTCCACCTTCCTGTAGACGTATCGTTTGGGTCGCATATGCCAAAATATGTACAATACTTATACCAGATGCTGCGCTCATCTACTTTTCAAATGGCAGACTTGCTACAAAAGGTTGGTTGTTGACCGCTCATCATACCATAGCTAACATGAGCTTTCAGTGAGACGAAAGGCTTGGAGGGAGAAAATGGCCCTCCTGTTGACATTGACCATGATAGCTGCTGCATTCTGCTTCTGGTTGGAATTCATCACAACACTCTTCTGCGACCCACCACCGACATACGATTATACCCAAGTGTACAGTAACACCTCTGAATCTTCAGCAATCAATGGAGATGTGGTGAATTGGCACGACCTGGATGACACCTCAGAGATGGTTCAGCAAGTCAACAAATATCCGCATTACGATTTATCGCCCATGTTCCCGAGTTTTATGGCTTTACAGCGGCCTGACGATCAGACATACTACAACAATAGATATGTGGACGATTGTATAAACGGATTTAATAAATCGACTGAAGCGGATAATTGGCTATCTCACAAATTGGCAACTGATCCCGGCTATGTGTTCAAAAACAACAGACTTCAGTCTTGTCCATTACCCTATCAGCGCAACAAAACAGGAACACCATGCTTCTATTCCATGATTTCAAAGGAGGAATACATGAGATATCCGAAAAAAGGCTGTAAGTGGCATCATCTTCCCCATGTTTTGTTAAAATGCTGACCTATTTGCATTTCAGCCCTCAAGTTCAATGTGGATGATATTTACCACAATTTTTCATCATTACCTCATGCCAATGTGCCCGGCCAAGCATTCGTAATCTTGGACAGCAGAGTGCTGGATGTTACAGACTATCTGGAGGCAGTGACAAATATCGTCAAAGTGACAAATGGAGCCTATTCTCGATCGTTTGCTCTCGACCGCATGTTTCTACCGCTCGATCTCACGATTTTGCTATTCGTGCACATGGGAGAAGACATCAGCGCAAAATTCCATTCCGAAATTCTTCATTCAGAGAGGTACAAGGAATGTTTATTTCAGCTATTTTACCATGGCGTGATTGACGGCACTGAAGACGAAGGATGCTCGCACATCAACCTGGCATTGTGGATCACCATGGGCTGCTTTTTGCTGTATTTTCTGCTAAAGATGAATCTAGCCAACCTGTCGAGACTCAAATTCATGCAGCATTTTCTCTACAAGTCAGTGCCCACATCAGCCATGGCCACCAACACCAAAGCGCTTCGACAGACGTTTTCCACCGTGGACAATACCAGATACCTGCTGCCCTACACCCTACTATTTATTCCATGTTACGCAGAATCTTCCGAAGCACTTCGACAGACGTTCGATTCCTTGGCTCGTACAAGTTATCCCGATACCCGCAAACTGCTCTTTTTTGTATGTGACGGATTGGTCAAGAGCCGTTCGGATTCTAAAGAAACCTATTTATGTATTTTGGATGCATTGGGCTATAGTTCCACCGAAGACCGTGAACCCAGAGCTTACATTTCGCTGGGCCAAGGCTCGAGAAGAGTGAATTATGCCAAAGTCTATGCTGGATTTTACGAGTCAGGGCGTAATCGGGTACCGTTTCTGATGATTGTAAAGGTGGGCGCACCAAATGAGGCTCTTTCCACTGCAAGAGCTCCGGGAAATCGTGGAAAAAGAGACTCTATGGTCATTGTGTTGAGTTTTCTGGAGCGTTGCATGAATCTTGCTCACAACCGAATCACGCCTCTGGACTTTGAGCTATTTAATCTCTGCTACAATCTGCTGGGCATTGATCCAAGGGAGTTCAAGTACATGTTGGTGACAGACGCAGATACACAGGTGCAGGACGATGTTGTAATTCGAATGGTATCAAGATTGGAAGCAGATCCCAAGATACTGGCCATCAATGGACACATTAGACCCGCAAATCCGGAGGAAAACATTGTCACCATGCTCCAGATTTTTCCTCTGTACATGACATTTTATTCTGGTTTGGCCTACGAAGCTTGTCTGGGCCGGGTTACTATAATCAATGGTGGGTTTGTCATGTACCGTATCTGGACAGAGTCATCTGGCAACCACGCACTGTGTCATCCAGTGGGTGATACAAGTCTTATCAGTAGTACAAACTCCAGTCCCTTCAATGCCAACGTCAACGAAAGCATCAAACTGAAACGAGTCCATGGTACGGCCCCTGACGCCACGACGGCAATTTCCACTGCAAAGCCTGCTCATGTACTGCCCAACAAGTGGCCTAAAGTCAGTGATGAAATTGTCATATTGCCAACCGATTCTACCGTTTTGAAAGCCCCAAATGATGCTGTATTCGACGATGAGGATGGCGACGAAGATGACGATAATAGCAGCAGTGATGATGATGTGACAACAACTACTACCAACACAACCATTACCACCACGTTTCGTAAAAAAGCCAGCTACAGAAGACGTTTATACAAGAAGAAGAAAAAGATGGCGTCGCAATCGGCACTCTCCCTTTTACCCAATGCCAATGTCCAGCCATGTTGTATTAAGCCTGCTGTCTTGCGAGGCTTTGCAGCACCAAGACCTGATACCATGCACATGGAAAATATCCTTTTGCTTGGTGAGGAGCAGTATTTTGGCATTGTTCTACTGCGCTCCAATCCACAGTACCGTTTCGCGTTTGAGCCTGAAGCGATTGCTTATGCTACTCTGCCTACCAACTTTTTCGCTCTTCAAGCACTGCAAATTCGAAACTTGCGGGTTGCTTTCAATACGCAAGTCGAATTCCAGCATGTTGCCAAGCATCTGGGACTGATGTACTGGCTGATATCATTCACCAAACTGCTAGACATGATATTCTCAACGCCCATTATTGTCTACCTCTACACCATCTTCATTCGTTATTTCATATACAAAGACTTGGCTTATGCCATTATCGCTGGTTCATTTACATGTCTCATTGTGCTCCATATCTTTTACTTTGTCATCCGACGTCAATTCAAGTATGTCTTGTGGTTTTGCATCTATGGTCTTTTCTCTGTACCTATTTTTGGTGTCTACTTCCCCATTCTGGCCATCTGGTATTCGGACTATGCGTATCGGTGGTACGATGTATGGCCAACACAGATAGGAGGCTACCACAGTAGGCTGCATGGCATCGTAATGGATGAACAAACGGAAGAAGAATCCGTGTTCCAAGAAGAAGCTGAAGCAGAGGATGTGGTTACTCGCATGAGATTAGCTGATTTCGAAGTGTTGGAGGCTGAAAAGACGGCACAGCGCGAAAAGGAACAGGCCGAGATTCTGGATGCTAAGTTTAGTGGCTTTACGGGTTACGTTAGTGCGGCGGCTGCTGCTGCTGCTGCTGCTGCTGTTGCTGCTGCTAATGGAAATGTCAGTGGACACACCAGTAAACCGTCATGGTCTTCTTCGCGTGCTTCCAGGGTAGAGACTCCCAACTCGTTGATCTCATCGCCTCCTTTGGCTCAAGTCAGGAATGGTATGAAAATGAGGGATGGTCACTCGAGATTTGCATCCGAAGACGATGCTCGGTTGTTACTGTCACCTAGCAATAACAACAGATCTTCAACGCCTCGCACTTCCTCCATCAACAGTATTACTAGTAGCCCACAAAACCCTTTTGTGTCTGCACTCGATGATCCATTCGATGATGTTTATGAAGATCCCCTGAATATTAGCAAGCACAAACGGACAGCCTCAAATAACGCCGGCTTGGTTGCTGCCGCTGTGACGAAAGCTTCGTCCATGATTCATCACAAAGCAAGTAGCTCTCAATCTTCTTACTTTAGTAGAGCCTCCTTCAATGCTGGTTCTGACTATCCGTACTATCCGAACGACATGTTTGTGCCTACATCAACACAAGATGCAACGAATGACACGTCTGGTGGTTTTGCAGCTCTGCAACACCGTATTCGATCGTACTCTGCCACGTCTGCATCATCTGCTGTTGCTGCTGCTGCTTCTGCTGCTGCTGCTTCTTCTACAAGCCTTCGTCATCCTCATTTAGCTTACCCACCTCCACGCAGACCATCAAGCCAACAGTTCAATACGCATTCTCCGTCATACCCTCCTCCACCACAATTCCATTTGGAAGACAATAGAACACTGGATGCAGAGGGAAAAGAAAAAGAGGAAGAAGGAAATTTGATGAACGATGATCTAATCACAGACTCTGCTTCAGTTATATCACTCAACCCCTCTCTCTCCAATTCAGTCATCAGTCTGGGACGCGATGCTCCCACGTTGGAACAAGAAGAAGCCCATTATACAAGCCCCCATTATATCTTGAGTGGTCGACAAAACCGTCGTTACAACTATTCACTTTACGACCATCATGTTTCTGAAGGCAGAAACGCACCTGTACATTCTAGAATCGCCTCGAAGCAACAACAACCTTGAATATCATATAGATTACATTTTTACCTGTCCCCTGTTTTACATATACTCTTCCATCATATTAATTTCATCCTCTTTATTGTATTATATAATCACTCTCAATATTAGAATAATCCCATACTATACATTATGCATCTGTTGATTTGCTAATTGTAGCAAGTGACACATGGAAATGTTTGTATTGCCTGGAGAAATCAAGCTAATCAACAATATTTTTTTTTTATTTTTTATTTTTTTTTATTTTTTTGCTTTTGCAAAACTGTACTCTATATTTCTGCCACGTTACATGAAAAAAGGAGATGTCGTATCAAACTTGTACTGATAATAACAGGTTTGAACAACCAGAATAAGTTCTACCCAACCTGATACAAATGGCAATGCCACCCACAAGCAGCTGCAAAAAGAGAACCTCCTAATAATTGCAGTGGAAATGGATGCGCTCCTACCCGTCTGCTCATGTTCCCCAGAAAATACCTCTAACTGATCTAAAAAAGAGAAGAGCTTATGTGCAATGTCCTCACTGCTTGCAGCTTGTATATACCAAAGTCTCTCGTGGTGGTGATGGTGTACTGTTTTTCTTGTGCTTCATTATTTCTGCGTTTGCTTTTGTGCTTCATATACTATACATAATACTTTTCCAGATAACGTTTATATTCTCCCTCCAAGATGCTGTTCATACATGTCCTTTGTGCGCAAAAAGCATCGCAAAGTATGCAAGATTAGGGCGAATAACCAGCGTGGCAAAAGTGGCTCCTGACGATGGCAATGTGTGATTTACTAATGTTACAGGCGAGTAAGTAGTAGTGTGTATAATTTTGGTAAAAGAGTTTGAATAGAGATAGCAACTTAGCCAAAGCAAATCTAACTATCAAATGTGCACCAGGTTTATAGTTGTCCAACTTGAGTAAACAAATAGCAAAAAAAAAAAAAAAAAAAAAAAAGTAGACAATGGTAGAAAGTTATACAGGGTTGTATATAATAGAGTTTACAATGAATTGATTATAATATGGGAAATATTTAAAGAATTCAAAGGATCTTATAATAGATGTTTAGTATAAGAAAACAAGTAAATATAACAGCTAATGAGCTTTATAAAAGATATGTATTGAAATGTTGATAATAAAGTATAAGATAATCTTATTAACTAATTTTGAGATTTATGCTTTTTATACTATTTTGCTATTCTTTAAAGAGGATTGAATTGAGATTTGAGAATATTGATGTACTAATATCCTTCGATAAACGAGGAATAGCTTACTTAATTTAAAAGGATTAATGTGTATAGTTTCATATGATATGGTTATGTAATTGTATTTCATAGATTTAAGATGTAAGGCTCGATATATGGTTGTCCTTTTGGATACAAGATACGGAGGGCATTGCAGAGTTGATCTGGACCTTTAAGTCATGCCCGCTTAATATGTGGCATTTTTGAGTTGTGGAAAGAGCGTAATTTAAGAGGTACCAAATGTGATGTATTTTATTTGTTTAACGCTGAAGAGCAGAATGAATGATTTTATATAATGACAGAAAAAAAAAGTGGTTTTTACGATTCGTAACACTAGTAAAACCAGTTTGCAAAGAAAAAAAAGATAATTTCTGTCCCTTTTGCATCTTCTACAGCATACTAGTTTAATAACTATGCTCAAAAACGACAAAGAGACCTCTCATGTTATTTGAACAAAGCAATAAAGAGTTATTACTAAGTATCGAACTGGCAATCTCTCGATTTATGACCAAGCGCTTTACCAACTGGACCAGGATCCGGTAATTATTACGTAAGCAATGAAAACAGCTTTATATCGTGCATATGCGGCGCGGCATTCGGCTTTTCGTTGCACAACGAAAAGCCGAATGCCTGGAAAGTTGATGTGGAATACATCCACTATGATCTGCATTCCGACAGTTCATCCAGTTACCAGATTTAGATATAAACTGTATGTACACTGGATTAGATGTACGATATCGATTTATACTATAAGAAGATATGGACTTCAGATACGCTAGTACTATAAGATTCATACTATATAAGATATAGGCTATAGATGGCACCACGGACATGGATGGCACTATAGACTTATACTTGTATTCCGACATTGACTACGGATGTTTACCATATCTGGATAGGCACCAAGATTAATGCAATATGAGCTTGTTGCTTCAGATGTGCACTTCATGATCCACGCTATAAGACACATGCTTATATCCGTGATACTAGCTACAGATAATTTATGTACTACAGACTTGTACTATATATGAGACATGCTATAGACATGCATACGATATGCTATAGACATGCCATATATCCAGATACATGCTAGAAATGTATGCTCAGCGATATACATTCAGATATGTACTGTTAATATAGACTAAGAAGACTGTTGTACCTATCGGATACATGCTACTAGATCGATATTAATTATCCTTATAGAAAGGATAGATCAGGGTACTTCGGATGAGAGTCTAATTATTCATCCAGACAGAGCTAAATCATGATTAGCTTGCTGGAGTTGTCTTTTAGCATGATTAGACATTAGTTGATCTGAGTTGACTTATTTGTCAATCTAATTAATAGAACTTTTATCCATTGTTATAGTATATAAGAAGGATCATCTACCTGGCCAGTAGAGAGACTTCAGTTTACTTGACACCTGTCAGTTTGATAATAAAACATACCTTTATCAAGTTGACATTACTGTTTTTTTATTCTTTTTTTCCGTGAATTTTAGTCTGTAAAGCCTCAAATTCCACAACAGTAATAGATACTTTTGAAGCGTATGGAAAGTAGATGGCAAATCATAGAGCATTATCGTTAGCTATGCTGTTCTTTTTGAATCTATATTTGATAACGCCAGTCTATCAAAATACTTGTTAGATCAACTTCTTTCCTTTTTGAGGCTTTGAAAGTGTTTAGGGACCATAAATTTATCATGTTATGATATTACATACAGGCAAAATTTCTTGACGTTAAATTATATGTATATGATTAAATTATGTACAGGCTTTAAAATACATTGGTCATAGCAATCAATGGACAGTACAAGCATTGAAACAAGATGCAATCATAAAAGAGCATAATATTGAAGTTAATGACAAGACGTGGTTGTTTTTTATTAATGTGTATTTGAGTTTATGAGATCACCATACTTGATGGATTAAGATTTTTGAGGCTATTTTGACTTGTATAGATAGAGGTAGCAGAGATATAAGAACGACTTGGCCTTGTATAGATGTCAGGCATTAATTGTCTTGATAATTGATTGAGTAAGAGGAAGCACAGATGAGAGTAGGGCTTGACCTTGTATAGATGTAGAGATGATATATTTGAACAGTCTTGTCATTTTAGGAGCTTGTAGGAAGCACAGATGAGAGTAGGGCTTGACCTTGTATAGATGTAGAGATGGTATATTTGAACAGTCTTGTCATTTTAGGAGCTTGTAGAAGGCACAGAGAACTTGGCTTGATAGCATTTGGAAAGAACAGCTTGCTTTAAATGAGATAGAACATGAGATGGCAGAGGTAACTAGATAAAGATGAGATGAGTACACAAGTACTGTGGCATGAGTGCGTAACAAACCATTTGGGCAAAGAAAATTGACCATCAATAAAAGGAACCAACACTATATAAACAGGTACCAAGGTGTAAACTTGCTTCACCTATCACAAGATCATCGACACGCTCAAGCCGCCTCCATCTCCGGATCATAGGGTTAAACCCTACTCTCGTCGGCAATAAAGCTTGTGATCATCCCGTAGCATGACCAATGGATTTGTCCTGCAGTCTACCCACGATTATGAAGCGGTGATCCTACTCAGTCCCTACAAAGTAGTTTTTCGGCACTATGTAATCAATAGGTTAGTCAACATGGCTCATACGTTCAACAAGATAATAACTTACTCGCACAGTTCACCAAGGTCTGCATGTATCAAAGATAGTGTGGCCTTTTTCTAGCATGGACCAAGAGACGTAGAGAGGACCATGGATTTGTAAGGCATTGTATGTAGCAGTAGTAGAGGCCAATAGACAGTAGAGTATTTGATTTAGATGACCATATGTAGAGAGAGAGAGCCCAAATGTCTTGTAGTAGTGAGTTTGCTTGTATAGAGTATTTTGCTTGTTGTAGAGAGATGAGATGAAGAAGAAGAGGGAAAAGCTGTTGAAACAAATCCCTATTTATATCCTTCTCATCGACTTTCATGTGAGTCTAGTATCCTTGCCACACTCAAATTCGTTTCCTTTTACTTTTCTCCACAATATACTACTTTTAGCGCGTGAAAATAGTACCATTTTGACGTTTGACACTTGCTCTATTTGATCCGCTTCGTCCGAGGCTTTCAACTGTTTTCTGTCTCGAGTTATGTCCATTTTGCTACTTCAAAAAGCCCTTTTTCAACCTTCACATGAAACGAGATCCCCATCTCTCCCTAGATGTAATTAACAGACAACTTCTCACGGGCTCAGCCTCATCAGAAAGTAAACAAAAAATGTCATTTGACACTGAAACAAATGCAGCTGGTTGCTTGATTAAGTAATCTTTCTCTACCTCCCCTTAATTTCTCTCTCCAAAATCACACAGTTCCCGATCCTTCTCTTCTGTTGTTTGTATTCGCCATAAACTCTCCATCTAATTGGGCAATACAGGATGATAAGGTTGGCTTACTTGTTGCTTACATCATCTTGGAGCCAGTGCAACAATTGATTCTGGATTAAGAGACAAGCGTACACCTCGGAAAGCAAGAGTATCATATGAATATTACTGCGGCTATCTCCATGGAATGGAAAATAATGAATTGTTTTCGAACCAGTGCAAGTCATCTTGTTTCCAGCTATCATGGTTGCAGTCAATAATGTCAATCAAGTGTTTGCGCTACTAGATATCATCAATATGCCCACATTTACATAATGAGTTGGTCATTCTCGTGTATCATTCCTGCAACCTGTTTTTAGTTCTTATGCCAAGAGCATGCATCCCATAAAGAGTCAACACATTTCATATCATTTT